CTGGGTTGATATGATCTCTCTTTTCGTTTTTTTTTAGGATCTGCGCTGCCGCATTTTGTAAAGGTTGTATTGTTTTCTTAGGAAGCCCAGTAAGCAGAAGCATTACAGTAATCAACTCTGCTTGTAACAAATGCATGAACAAGTTTCTCTGCATCACTCTGAGTTAAACAAGGCCGAAACATTAGCAATATTTCTCGAATGATAAAGAGCCACTTTAGGATAAAACAGTGCTCAGAGTCTAAGATCACACCCAGGTTTCTAATTCAGGTTTGGTATATGAAGCTAAACAATCAAGCTTCTCATAAATGAGCTTTTTCTGAGCTTTTAGTACAAAGTATTTCAGTTTTTAATTGTAGATAATTTTGTGATATACACTGAGAAATATCTGACACACAGCTGGTAGGCCTGTCAACAGAGTCTTGACTATCAGAAGGAATGGAAATGTATACCTGGGTGTCATAAGCATAGCTATGAAAATTGATATTATGTTTCCTAATAAAAAAAAAAAATTGTTGATCTATTTCCCAGTAAAACATGAACCGTCTATTAACTAAATATGATTTAAATCATAAATCCTACCAATTGTTGAAGAAGGTGGATTTGAATCTTATGATGAACAATATGAAGAGCTGCACTAAGATCCAATAAGACCAGAACAGAAGGATTTTGTGCATCAGTGCTGAGCCTGAGGTCACTGACAACACAAACCAATGCTGTCTCAGTACTACGGTTAGAACGAAAATCTGACTGAAACTTCTCATATAGCTTGTGCGATATTAGATATTAGGGGTGCGGGAAAAATGATAACAGTCAACTAACTGACAGTTAGTTGACTGCATCGCGATGCGGACCTGAACGATTCTGAATCGATTCACAAATGTCAAAAATCAATTTTCTAAATATTTAATTTATAACATAATGTTGATGGAATGCAAAAGGCGGAACCTGGAAGTGGGTAAGTGCAGCGCCCGGACAGTCTGTGGCGGCACATAACAAAAACACTACTGGATGAGCGAGAAATCCGACCAGCTCCCTCTGCATTAAAAGCCAGGTTAGGTCAGGAGTCGACAACCCAAATGTTAAGAAGAGACATTTTGTCCTTTCAACAAAGATCAAACCACCTTGGGAGCCACAACATTTAATGTCTCAGTATGTCCTAGTATAGGCTAGACGATATAAACGAGAGCGCAGATTTACTTTGCTCTGCTTTAAGCTATAATAACCGCTTTGCTCCCATCTCCGCCAGAAAACTTTTCCTCAAAACTATAGCAGTTTATTGTAAAACGTCTCTCAGCATTTGACTGTTTTACGAGGCTGAAGTCACTACTTATTCTCCAGTTTCTTGTTCGAATTTTCCCGTTCCACCTTAAATTCTGACTGAGGCGCCGAATGTAAAAGCGGCACCATTTAAGGTGGAACAGGAAAATTAGAAAGACAAGCTGACTTCATCTTCGTAACTGTTTAGTGTTTGACAGTCTCTCGTTGCAGATTTAACTTGCCAGGAAACCAACTGCGCTGCTTATAAATGTGAATAACACATCGTTGCTATGTGACCTGCAGTCTGCATGCCAATTCTCAGTCATTGCGAAACAGGGCTTTTGCGCTGTGTTGCACATGTCCCGTCCCAGGGATATTTTACTGACACAGTGACCCCCCCCCGGGTCTCTACCACGAGACCAAAACCGAAGTTATAAAATCACTAAAGAAAACGGGTAGGACGGCTGTAACGCGCTGCGTGGACACCCATTACCACTGGATCTTATTTCACCGTAACTGCGCATTTTATCGCAGATGAGTGGCAGCAGCGTCTCATGTGCTCCAAAGGCAGTGAATGAGAGCCTTCCAGTTCACTTGCCACATCACTTCCATTTGATTTATCAATAAAAGATATTGGAAGTAAATTCATTATGGATCATTACAAATACTTTGCTTTAAAACTACCACGTCCTCAGACAGTGAGAAAATAGAAATCCTGTATAGAAAAAAAAAAGATGCATTGAGATGCATCGATAATCGTTTTATAATCGCATCGCAGCCCTCTGAATCGTAATCGAATCGAATCGTGAGGTGCCTAGAGATTCCCACCCCTATTAGATATGCATTTAGTTATTCAAAAACAACCTTTTCTATGACTTTATTTAATAAGGACGTTTGGAATTGGTCTAAAATGATTTAGTACAAAAGGATCCATGCTCCTCTTTTTTACCAGAGGCTTCACCAAGGCAGTTTTAAAAGCATCTGGAAAAGCACCCAAACTCTGGGTCCACAGTGCTGGGTAGTTTTTAGGTAGTGTTTGGGGATCTCAGCTGTTGGGTTAGTGACTCTGTCGCAGTAACAACCCAGCCAAAGGCTTCATTTTTTAAAATCATAACAGCGCCTGTTAGCGCAGAGTTGGTTAAATGGCTCTTCATAAGACAGCAGCACAGAGTCGCTCTGATAGGAAAAAAAACACCTGACAATAAAATATATATTTTTATACATACTCTTCAGTGGAACCAATGATATAAGTGCTTTGTATTGAGAAAACCTGATATTATAAACTGTATTTTTCTGGTTGTGAGGTGAGATTAGTTAATGCTAACATTAGTTTGCTACAATTCTTCTTCGCTGGTCTTGTAGCTGTAACATTAACATTAGACCTTTAAAGTTATGTGATGTTTGTCGATATTTATAGCTGAATATTAATTTGTTTTAAAGTAAACATTAATAGTATCAGTGTAATAATTTTATTACATGTGGCTAACATTAGCCTACTAATGTAAGCTAACCAGACAGACTTGGTTTGACAAGACTCTTTTTTTTATCCTTTCTTTTCACAGACTAAAACAAAACTACTTTGATTATTTCATGTTTTTATTGAATAGAAGGTAACAATATAAATTTAAACAAAAAATGAAAAAAAGAAATTAAAAACAAGCAAACAAATCAGACAGTAACCTAACAAAAGAGTTCAAATTAACTTTGGGTCAAAGTGACAATAGGGAACCATGGGTTATCCATATAACTCAACATTGCTGGGTCAGATTAATCCAGCAGGTGTTAAGTTATATAATGACCCAGTGCATATGTTGTTTTTAACCCAGCATTTTTTAAGGGCAACCACAGGCTAGATTTATGCATGTAATACATATAATTGCATATGATACATTCAGTTTGTTATGAAAGTAGAAACTTAAATTAATGAATGAATGAATAAATAAACACATTGTTAAACATAACCACAGACACCACAATGGCATGAATATGAAAGGCCTGTGTTGTGTGTTGAAACATAATAGACTTTGAGCTCTGACTTGGTAAGAGGGCCCCCTCGTGGTGTATTTTTAATTAACTGTCAGTTAGTTGACTGTTATCATTTTCATTGTTAACTATGTTTATTGACAAAGAGAAACTTTCCTCAACAACTTATGAATTAACTCTAGCATTGATCTAATTTATGACTCACTAGCACTATATACTATAGCTGTGCTTTCTCACTCTTAATGAAGTTTTCAGTTAACACATTCATTTTTATTTCCTTCAGCAAAGACAGCTTAACTTGTGTCTGAGGTTCAGATGGATGTTTCCCACAGGGCCCTTCATCTCACACAGTAACAGCAGAGACGGTTTTGGTGCTAATTGCATCTCACAGACTTCTTCTTGATTTCTTTCTGGAATAAAACTTTGGCTCCAATCCAGATTCTTCCTCTGGCTGGCTCACCAATCGATAAATTAATTTAATGATGTTAAGCTCCAAATTTATTGAGAATAAACTAGACTGACTTTTACATGTTTGAGGGGAAACTGTCTCTCCTATCCAGCTTTGACTAGGAATACATATAGATTAGGCTATAAATAAAGTAATATCATAGCTTCTAAATGCAGTTGTTCAATTAGTAATCTTATATTGTCCAGCAAGTCTTGAGCTAAGCTGTAGCTTTGTTGTTTTATGTCTACTGATTTAGTGATACTATTCAGGTTAGCTATTTGTTAATTGTTTTGCATGGATGCCAGGACAAGTTCTGAAAGCAGTTAGTCAGTGGGTGTTGGCACTGGCACTGTTGTAAGTTAGAGAAAGACAAAATCTGCCAGTGCCAAAACCTGGACCGCCATTTGCAACCATTACCGATTAGACTTTTTAAGTGACTCTTATCTCTTTAGACCTCGAAATTCAGATTAGATGTTCCATGACCTTGACATGTGACATGTAGCCAAGTTGAAATTTACTTTGGTAAAATATTGCATGGATCAGTGGCCAGAAGACATGAACAGACAGAGAGTCAAACCATGAAATAATAAAATTAAAAACTCAGTTTCAGTTGGGGGGCAGAAAATTTCCCAGAAAGCAAAACCTGTCTGATTTCATCACAGATGCTAGTTATCCCTGTGAACTTTACAGGTTCAAAACAACGCTGACGTTGTTCATGAAAAGATTTGTTGTGAGAGGTTGTTAAATGACTTATGGACTATTTGAAGACACATAGACTATATGAAGTTCTGAAAGTAAGTTTTAGGCATTGCCATAGTTGTGATTCATTAAACTTGTTGCAGTTCTGATTCAATTAACATTTTATTTGGATTCCACTTTTAAGCAAATGTGGATTACACTCTGAATGGTTTGTCAGTTCAACATAAAAAATAATTTATCTAATACACATTTCCTCTAATTATGGGCCCTGTATGATCTCTGCCATTACATTTGTTAATTATTCTCTCCCAGGTTTTATAATCCCATGACTCTAAATCATATTTTGCTTCTCTGCATGGGGCTGCAGGCCAACTTAGGATGCAGAGATATACCAGGAAGCCTCACAGAATGTAAATATGACAAAGCATCCCTGCACTCATTGCTGTTCTCCCCTGATTCTGACCTGCCAGAGCCACTCGTCCCTCACACCCTCCATCTACAAGCTAAGCGAGTATGTTCAGTCTGCCACCCTGCCACAGACCAGATAGAAGAAAAATATCTTAAGCCAGAACATAGTAATCCAACCCTTTTCATTTTCACAATACACTCTTGCTTGTTGTGCTCCAAAAATGTGATTTATTGGGTACATAAAATCCTGGCATAGTATATGTAGCAAACAGTGGTCTTTTCACCATATACTCCATGACATGCTAATAGATGCCTGTGGGTTGCACTGACCATATGCAACATTAATGAATAAGAGCCAAAATGCTTTGAATATGTTATGCTGAAAATTGAGGTCTTTTACTAAGGTACACTATTTTTAAAAATTGCACTGAGAAAGAAAACATTGAGATTGCACTGAGAAAAAATTAAGACACGTCACCTGATGTAAAGAGGAACTGAATCGTTTTGACTTGGCATTCAGCTAAATCACAATTTCTTATAGGTCTATGTTTTCTGCATTATATCTAATATACTACGCACAACATACCAGCAGGATTTCATTATTATGGCATTAAGGGCATTAATTATGTTCCAGACAGCCTTAGACTGGAGAGTTGGGGTCCACGCAGTTTCCAAAGTTGGTGTTGGTAATGGATCCTCCAATAGACCAGTCACCTTCGCACTTAAGTCCATTCTCACAGGGGCAGAAGTAGTATGTATCATACAGGGTCTGTGTGGAGTAGGAAATGCTATGTTTAAGTATCAGAGATGCTGCCACTAAACATTTTCCTTGAGTTGAAGTGACTATCAGGAAGAAAATGTGTTACAGAAGTGCTTTTTTTGCAACCTTGTGGGTAGTGGGCTGCACATGGAGTAACTAGTCTCATGTCTTTTTAATGATAGCTAATCATGAGACCTAAACAATTCTTTTTGAGTCTAGGCCTGTAACGTTAATATGTAAAGATGTATGACGTGGTTTGAAAAACCACCTCGAAATCCGTCGTGGTACCTCTGACTTTTAAATGATTATGTTAGGCTTTACAGGGTGACTTAAGAACTGAGGAAAAGGCACTACTGTTAATTAATAGGAAACATAGCTAATGTGCATTGGTCTAGTCCAGTCAGTGTTGTAGGAAGGTTGTACCAATGCCAAAACCTGGATTGCCATTAGCGACAATTACAGATTAGACTTTTAAGTGACTCTTATCAGTCTCTTTAGACTCCGATATTCAGATTAGATGTTCCACAACCTTGATGCGTTTTTGAAGGGCCAAGTTGTGAAAAGTCGACCCTTGAAAAGTCGCTTAGGTTAAATGCTGTTGCATTTGAATTCATTAAAGAAGTGATACTTTATGTGCTGACAAGGCTATATTAAAAAGTTGGAACAGGTCAGAATATTTAAAGCTTGATCCATACATGAGCGTTATTGTGTGGTGCTGGTGGTGCTGTTCTTACATATTTGGAACACGTCTCTCGCTCTGCAGCACGTGGAGCACAGCGAAAGAGGTCGAGACCAGAGGAGTGCTGGCAGCAGGAGCTCTTACACTGCGAACTCAAAATACACAGCTCTCCATTATTCTGTAGAAAAGAAGTTTAAACAGAGAGAAATACAGAATCAGAAATGAATACAGACACAGTAAAATGCAAGATTGATTAATCTGAAGATCATGATGAAATGAATTACCATGAAATGAGGAAACATTTATAATTCTACACCCTCCACTCTTAAAAATCAAGATTTCATTCCTGGTTCTCAGCTTGAACAGACAGTTCTAAAAACTTTTAAGCGACATAGTGAAATTTAAATTGTAGAGAAATTATGTGGAGATTCTTTAAACTTGAAAAAAAGTGCTTCAAACTCATTTACAGTAAAAGTTACTTAATGAATCATCCTTAATTTTTCCTTCAATTCTTCAGGGAACCAAAAGTGGTTCTTCTATGGCATCACTCTGAAGAAAGCTTTTTGGCACATATTTTTTTAAGATTGTATAGCAAAGTTAAGGATGCACGGCTTTTGGCAGGCAACTTTAAAGTCAAAGGAAAATTGTGCAGTTCTTACCAGGTTGATGAAGATTCCCTGAGATTCAGGAACAGCAGAAGGATCATGACTGTGTGGAATATGTGGAGAATCAGGAATATCAGGAACAGCAGGAGGACCAGGAATATTAGGAATTTCAGGAGAAGCCGGCAGAGCCGTGGCCGTCAGGCACAGGGTGGTTATTAACAGAGCCTCCAACATGGTGTCTCTAGATCATCAGCTGTTCAATCGCACTGGCACTGAACAAGCTGGTCCTATATATCAGAGCTGCTATCATGCATAAGGGCCAATGTTAACAAAGGTCATCTTTCTCAAAAATAACTAAAGTACATAACTATGACATCAAGCAATCAGCTTACAGCTGTACAAGCAGAGCAACATTTCCACTAGGCCAGACTAATGACAGAAGGTTTATTCCCAACAGGCCCCCTACAACAAGTGTACTAGTTACAGTTATACTACAAGTAATACTTTGTTGTTACAGCCATGGCATTGCTTACTACTCTATCTGAAACAAAACTGGCTTTAAATTAAAACTGTTGTCAGCTAGACACAAAAACTAAGCAATACTTTGTTTTTGTATTTATGTGGTCATTTATTCATACTAAATATAAATTATTTAAGTCTTATATTTTACCTTTTAAACAAAGACTTATTTAACTTCCTGTCAAAACAGCCATTAAGGAACTGGTTCTCTTGTATTTATTGACAATGTGAGTGCCGACAAAAGCAGCAGGATAAATTCTAAAGTGTATAGGGCTACATTATCTGCTTAGATTTAGTCAAATGCTTCAAAATTCATTGGACAGTGCTTTACAGTGCAGCTAGACAATGACCTAAAGCATACTGTGAAAGCAACCCAAGACTTTTTTAAGGCAATTAAATATTCTGCGATTGCCAAGTCAATCACCTGACCTCAGTCCAATCAAGCATGCATTTCTATTACTGAAGGCAAAACTGAAGGTAAAACCACCCCAAGAACAGCAGTAACTGAAGACAGCTGCAGCTGCAGTCCTGGCAGAGCATTACCTGGGAAGAAACCCGGCACCTGGTGATGTCCATGGGTTTGAAACTTCAGGCAGGCAGTTATTGACTTCAACATTGGCTGGATTATCAGTGGATTCAATTAGAAATGCATTTTTAAAATGGAGTGAACATTCCAAATATTTCTAAAATTAATTTTGGGCTGTGATGGGTTTTTAGTCAGGTATTACAGTGAGATAAAAGCAGATACACATTCCAAATAATTCAACGCCAGATGGCACACTTTTAACTAGACATCCAGTTTATCTCGCTTATCTCAGATCTGTTCTGAAGATGCTAGTAGATGCTATGTAGGCATTGATGCCCTTTTGTTGCCCCATCTGGCCAGAGTCCTCTCTATGGCATTCACTAGTATGAGACAGAACCTGAAGCCAATGCCTATTTTGTGAGTTCAGACCATGCCTACAACACAGTGGTAGCATGAGGGAAGACTGATTGAGGGAGGGGGAAGAACTCTAAGTACTTGGGCTGGAGTTCTGGGCAGCTTCCATCTGTAGCTTGAAGGCCAGACCCCCCCTCATAGCTGTAGTAGGAGTGATGTACGTCTGAGGAACAAGGAGGAGATGGGGTGGTGGTGGTGTTTGCGAATGCTTCGTCATGGGAACGGAAGGTGAGGATGTGAATTTATACGGTGTTAGATATGAAGAAGGAGGGGTTTAAGGCCTGTTCCTCCCCTAAACTTCAGTTATAACATAACGACTCTGTATATCTAACTACTCTGATAAACTGTTTTGTCACCTTATTCTTCTGATTACATTACCATGCATAACTTATATTCTGACACCTTTGTTGGCTTTATGTTAAATTATCTAGGTTTATATTAAAAGCCCCCTTACTAGAAAAAACAGCTTTTTCTGGTCAGCAGTAATCAAAGTTGTTATGCTACTCACCACCAAAACCAGCATATTGTTGCTGAACAAGACCTCCGATCTCCAAAATCCTTTCTACGGGTGAAGAAAAAAACCATTCTTACCATTTAATGGAAGTTAATATAAGGGTCAATGACAAATAAGGTTTTCAAAAATCACAATTTAAAAAAAAATTATGAAAAAGTACATTTTTATATCTGTATATATATTTGCATTTATATCTATGTGTATTTTATATTTTAAATATAGTTAGTGTTATCAAACCTTTTAACTGTCTTTTTCAGTTATTAAAACTGTACTGGTCTAGTTGAACCATTTGACTTACTGGGTGTACCACATGACTTTTCAGATTAATTTCAAATTAAACAGGCATCTACTTAGACACCTGTAGAAACCTTTGTCCTTGAACTTGAGTTTAGATTTACATTTTTTCAAGTAAATAAATATTATTGTAATAATTACCACCTGACATTGTACACTGAACCATTCTAACCATGACAAAAAATTGACATTTTTTCCAAAACTTGTGAAAGGGCTACTGGACTTGCAATTGTACCATGAAGGTCACTTGGGGTTGTCTTTATAATGGAATACACTGGCCCCTCTATCAAAATAAAAGTCCTTTGTTTTTGGTTGTGCTGCCTGAACTTACAGACAAATGTTAAGAGTACTTTAAAAGTTGCTTTATTTTGCAACATGGTTTTTATTTTAAGTTCAAACATAAAATCATGCCAAACTATTTTATTCAGCATTGCATATAAATAATTTACCTTTTTTGATAGTTTAATTAATCAACATATATGGTTGGATGGTTGCATCAAGTGATATTTTTTATAGGGCAAAAAAACTACAACGAAGTTTATATGGATGCACTTAAAATTGTTTCACCTAAAAGAGGTATTTTAAAATAATAATTAAATATATGTCATAGATTTATTAAATAGTTTTTTGGGAAAATAATGGACTTTGACACAATTTTCAAGTATTTTTGGACCATTTCTGTTTGTCCATTCACCATAAAATCTTAACACAATGTAATGTCAATTCTGCAAAAAAGACTACAAAAATGGAGATACAAGGTTTTGTTGTGACAGCGATGATATGCTGTTTCAGATTTATACAGAGCCTTTCAAATTACATGGTGTATTTTTTTATTATCTGGTGAGCACCACATACTATCTAGTGCTCAGGAGATCTGGTGAGGACCATAGTATGATGCACACCAAAATTTTACTTTTAAAAAACAAAGCACAAATAGTTTCTTTTCAGAAGCTCTGCAGATTTTATTTAAGTTGCTCACAACGTAACTCAATTTGTCACCAAAGGAAAAGCCTGAATCCAGAAAAAAATGACACCGTTAAGTATGAAGAGGACAGCTTCAAGCCTAGGAACAGTTGGAAATGCTGTTAAACATATGGGTAAATGTGTTCAGCAAGTTGGGTGAGTTTCTTCAGGTGCAATGTGGAAGTAGAGTCTTCTAAGGGCTAAGACTAAACACTGTGCAAAACAGTTATGACCGATTTCACCTGTTCGACCTTTTTCACATCTGTATGTTGTAATCTGGGATATTGGAGGCAAGACTGGTCTGTTTTATTGCTCTATTCATTATTTGCTGGTTTCCTTAATTTTGGGCTAAACTTTATTTACCATTAGAAATTCTCTTCAAGCTTAATCTGGGTTTGGGAAACTGGTCCTATATCTAAGTTTAATGTATATACAATCAGTTGTGTGACTTCCATTACTTATTAGGTACTTCAGCCTTCAGTGCAAAACTAAAGAATTAAAAAAGCAAATCTTTTCTTCAGTCCAACAGTTTTGAAGTTTCCTGGTCTTGTGCACTCCAATTTTGTGTTTTCCCTTATCTAATACACATTTCCTCTAATTACGGGCCCTGTATGATCTCTGCCATTACATTTGTTAATAATTCTCTCCCAGGTTTTAATAATCCCATGACTCTAAATCATATTTTGCTTCTCTGCATGGGGCTGCAGGCCAACTTAGGATGCAGAGAGGTTTGCAGGAAGCTACACAGGGTGGAATATGACAAAGCATTCCTGAACTCACTGCTGTTCTCCCCTGATTCTGACCTGCCAGAGCCAATCATCTCGCATACCCTCCATCTACAAGCTAAGCGGGTATGTTCAGTCTGCCACCCTGCCACAGACCAGATAGAAGAAAAATATCTTAAGCCAGAACATAGTAATCCAACCCTTTTCATTTTCACAATACACTCTTGCTTGTTGTGCTCCAAAAATGTGACTTATTGGGTACATAAAATCCTTGTATAGTACATGTAGCGAATAATGGTCTTTTCACCATATACTCCATGACACATTAATATTGTGCATTCTGACTGCATAGTTTTTGATATATTAAAACTTTAAGTGTATTGGCCCTTATTCATTAATGTTGTATAAAACAGAACGCAGATTTGACTGTCTTTAATGACATACGAACAGCTCCGCATCTGATTCATTAAACTTTCGCACAACATGGAAACGAGTAGAGATTTGAGCACAAAAATTATAGTAAATCAGCTTCAATGTGTTAAATCAAGCGCCAGCCTACCAGTACCTCATTTACATGAAGCATGCCCTAACTCATGCAGATGTCTCAGTATGAAGCCAATAAAACAACAGCATAAGCCAACGTCTCAGCTTGTAGGCGGCGCTTGAGGTTGAGCAGTGAGTGCACAACTCCCCCTACAGACCAAACTTTGTTTTAAAATTACAATGACTGGAAAGAATAAGATGTGACATAAATAAAATGTATGATGTGATTGTGTAGTGTGACTATTCTGCCCCCCCAACCCCCAAAAAAAAATAAAATAAAAAAAACATTTTTAACTTGGTATAGTTGCAGCAGTTGTTTATACCAATGTGTATAATGTTTATAACAACTGAAATCAGTGCACCTCTTTGTACTGGTTTGCCATGTGCACAAATTATTATTATTGTTATCATTTTTATCTTATCAGGTATTTTAGATGATAGTGATAATAGTTTTGGTTAACTGTGATACAAGCACTTTTTTCAAGTTGTTAAACTATTACACTCAAATTTACACATATTTCTACTAGACTAGAGTTTACGACAAAAATGACATTGACGAATATTAAAACTGTCAGTTGCACTGACTACAGTGCGTGAAATCAAGCTCCAGCCTGCCAGTACCTCGTTTACATATTATTTACATGAAGCACTCCCTAATTCATGCAGATGCTTCAGATGTCTGTTAGTTGCACTCATTTCATGATCAAGTTTGACCATATGCAACACTGATGAATAAGAGCCAAAATGCTTTGAATGTGTTATGCTGAAAATTGAGGTACACTATTAAAATATTTTAAAAATTGCACTGAGAAAGAAAACATTGAGATTGCACTGAGACAAAAATTGAGACACATCACCTGATGTAAAGAGGAACTGACTCATTTTGACTTGGCATTTAGCTAATTCACAATTTCTTATAGGTCTATGTTTTCTGCATCATATCTAATGTACTACGCACAGCATACCAGCATGATTTTATCATTAGAGCATTAAGGGCATTAAGGATGTTCCAGACAGCCTTAGACAGGAGAGTTGGGGTCCACGCAGGTTCCAAAGTTGGTGTTGGTGATGGATCCTCCAATAGACCAGTCACCATCGCACTTAAGTCCGTTCTCACAGGGGCAGTAGTAGTACGTACCATACAGGGTCTGTGTGGAGTAGAAAATGCTATGTTTAGATATCAGAGATGCTGCCACTAAACATTTTTCTTGATCTGAAATCATGTGTAGACCTGCATTTCCTCAAACTCGACTGTAGGCTTTGCCTCTGCAAAACTAAACAGTCGTTCTTGGGTTCTTTCAACACTGTAACTTAAGCAACACTATGTAGGATTTGCGGATTTGGAGACCTTTCCGGTGGAAATATATAATTGCACGCAATGTGCCGAAGAACATTTTGTAACGGTGGTTGTGCTTCAGACACCCAAGTGCGTTGAAAGACTATTCGAAAAGAAGTCCGTCAACTTGGTGAAGGACGCATCTTCCAAGAATGGAAGTGAATTATCTAATACTTTCATCATATCCTCATCAGTAAGGTTGATTTTGCATTTGAGGCCTAAACATCGAGCCGGACCTTCTTTTTGAATCTGTGTGTGATGTTAATACATAAAGACACATGAGGCCAGATTCGTTCTGGTACCTCTGACTTTTAAATGATTATGTTAGGCTTTACAGGGTGACTTAAGAACTGAGGAAAAGGCACTACTGTTAATTAATAGGAAACATAGCTAATGTGCATTGGTCTAGTCCAGTCAGTGTTGTAGGAAGGTTGTACCAATGCCAAAACCTGGATTGCCATTAGCGACAATTACAGATTAGACTTTTAAGTGACTCTTATCAGTCTCTTTAGACTCCGATATTCAGATTAGATGTTCCACAACCTTGATGCGTTTTTGAAGGGCCAAGTTGTGAAAAGTCGACCCTTGAAAAGTCGCTTAGGTCAAATGCTGTTGCATTTGAATTTATATATTAAAGAAATTATACTTTGAAGGCTGTATTAAAAAGTTGGAACAGCTCTGAATACTCGAAGTTTTAACAAGTTAATGCAGTTCTTTGACAGCTTTAACCTAAGTTGAATTGAGCTGTACTGATTCACACATAGTTGGACTGTCTGAGTGGTCTTGAGAGTTAATGTGTGGTGCTGGTGGTGCTGGTCTTTACCTTTTTGGAACATGTCTCTCGCTCTGCAGCACGTGGAGCACAGCGAAAGAGGTCAAGACCAGAGGAACGCTGGCAGCAGGAGCTCTTACACTGCACACTGAACATACACAGCTCTCCATTTTTCTATATAACAAAAGTTATATAGAAAAGAGAGAAAGAGAGAAATACAGAATCAGAAATGAATACAGACACAGTAATATGCAAGATGATTAATCTGAAGATCACAATGAAATGAATTACTTTGAAATGAGGAAGCATTTATAATTCTACACCCTCCACTCTTAAAATAAAAATTTCATTCCTGGTTCTCAGCTTGAACAGACAGTTCTAAAAACTTTATATAAAAGATATATACTACCTTCACGTTATGCAGAGATTCTTTAAAGACCGTTAAAAAAGACTTCTTAAAAGTGCTTCAAACTCATTTACAATAAAAGTCATTTAATGAATCATCCACTGAAAGGTTCTTCAGGGAACCAAAAGTGGTTCTTCTATGGCATCACTCTGAAGAAAGCTTTTTGGCACATTTATTTAAGAGTATATAGCAAAGCCAAGGACACATGGCTTTTGGCAGGCAAAGGAAAATAATCCAGCTCTTACCAGGTTGATGATAATTCCCTCATTCTCAGGAACAGCAGGAGGATTATGAATATGAGGAATATGTGGAGAATCGGGAATATGAGGAATATGTGGAGAATCAGGAATATCAGGAACAGCAGGTGGAGCAGGAATATGAGGAATTTCAGGAGAAGCCGGCAGAGCCGTGGCCGTCAGGCACAGGGTGGTCATTAACAGAGCCTCCAACATGGTGTCTCTAGATCATCAGCTGTCCAATCGCACTGGCACTGAACAAGCTGGTCCTATATATCAGAGCTGCTATCATGCATAAGGGCCAATGTTAACAAAGGTCATCTTTCTCAAACATAACTAAAGTACATAACTATGACATCAAGCATCAGCTGACAGCTGTACAAGCAGAGCAACATTTCCATTAGGTCAGACCAGGGGTCAGCAGCACAAATTTTAAGAAGAGCCATTTTGTCCTTTCAGCAAAAATCAAACCACCTTGGGAGCCACAATAGTTTATGTCAATTTTATCATCTTGGCTGTAAATATGTTTCAGTATGTGCTAATGTCCTAGTATAGGCTAACAAATTTAATATGAATTAAAACACAGTCTTACTTTGCTCTGCTTTAAGCTTTAGCTCAGCTATAGCCACTTCTCGCATCTCCAGCAGGAAACTTTGCCAAACGAGAATAGTTTCATGTAAAATGTCTCTCCATGTTCAATTTTTTACAAGGCTGAAGTCAGCTTCTCATTCACCAGCTTCTCATTCTAATTTTCCTGTTCCGCCTTAAATAGTGCCTACTGCACCATTTAAGGTGGAACGGAAAAAAGATGCTGGTGAAAGAGAAGCTGACTTCAGCTTTGTGACTTTTTAGTGTTTTAGTGACAGTTTCTCATTGCAGATGAAACATATCAGGAAAGCAGCTACAGTGCTTGTAAATGCACATAATCTACACACACACACACACACACACACACATTTTCTAAACCGCTTATCCTTCTGGGTTGCAGGGCAAATAAGTCCATTTGTCTCTGAATTATCAATGTTCATCTTACATTTTTCTCTTTGCCTTTTCATTAGCTACCAGCTAGATGAGATTGTTGTCTGAGTCGCTGTGTGACCAGTACTCTGCACGCCTTCAGGGTTCAAGGGTGAATTAGCAGTTATATATTAACTCCAATGTTTAAGACCATTTACTGTTAAAACTGTTAGAACGATCAACAGAGCTTTATTTTACTAAAGGAAGATTATTTTATTTTTACCTAAAAATCTTAATTCTTTTTAAATCTAATACTTTGCTTTTGTATTTATATGGTCATTTATTCATACTAAATATAAATTACCTAAGTCTTATATCTTACCTTTAAAACAGATAGTTATTTAACTTCCTGTCAAAACAGTCAATAAGTAGGACTTATTCATTCAGGAGATTAGATTTAAGATAATCCGCTTACATAAAAGCTCATTGAAATAAGCGGAGAAAATTCTGTTGAAAGTGCAGATTCTAAACTTCCTGTTCATATCCACATTTGTGTTTGTGAGGAAACGAGGAGATTTTTATTACACTTTGAATCTGATGAAAAGTTTGACATGATGTTGGCTGTGTAGTTCTTCCTGTGGTGTAGTAAAATGTTTGTGTACTTTCAGCATGATGGTCTAATATATTAACCTTAAGTGAAATGCTTTTTTGTGAAATCTTTGTGAAAACTTTGGGTGGTTTTTAAGAAGAAAAGGGTTTTAAGAAGAAATTTCTTCTTAAGAATGATTGGTAAATGAGGCCTATTGTTACTTCAGTCGTCTATCACAGCATATTGGACAGAAGAGACAAAGATCAACTTGTACCAGAATGACAGGAAGAGAAGCGTATGAAGAAGGGAAGGAACTGCTCCTGATTAAAGCACACTACCTCATTTGTCAAGCATGGTGGAGGTAGTGTTATGCCGTGAGTATTTATGGCTGCCAGTGGAACTGGTTCTCTTGTATTTGTTGTATTGATTCACAATGTGACTGCTGACTGCAGCAGGATAAATTCTAAAGTGTATAGGGCTATATTATCTGATCAGATTCAGCCAAATGCTTCAAAACTCATTGGACAGTGCTTTACAGTGCAGCTAGACAATGACCTAGAGCATACTGTGAAAGCAACCCAAGACTTTTTTTAAGGCAATGAAATGAAATGTTCTGCAATTGCCAAGTCAATCACCTGACCTCAGTCCAATCAGGCATGCATTTCTATTACTGAAGGCAAAACTGAAGGTAAAACCACCCCAAGAACAGCTGAAAACAGCTGCAGCTGCGGACCCTGGCAGAGCATTTCCTGGGAAGAAACCCAGCACCTGGTGATGTCCATGGGTTTTGAAACTTCAGGCAGTTATTGACTCCAACATTGGCTGGATTTTCAGTGGATTCAATTAGAAATGCATTTTTAGAATGGAGTGAAAATTCTAAATACTTCTAAAGTTAATTTTGGGCTGTGATGGGTTTTTAGTCAGGTATTACAGTGAGATAAAAGCAGATACAAATTCTGGCCAGACCGCTCTATGACATTCACTTAGTATTAGACAGAACCTGAAGCCAATGCCTATTGTATATCTAATTACTCTGATAAACTGTTTCGTCACCTTATTCTTCTGGTTACGTTACCATGCATAATTTACATCTGACACCTTTGTTGGCTCGGATATTGTTTCTGACACCATGGAACAGGTGTCTACGGTGTTCTCTGACTCTTCACTCACAGTACCTTTCTGTTGGAAGGGATAATAATACTGGGAATTTTTAGAGAAATTTTAAGGGAATCAATTTGAGCTCAGAATAACTAGTGGGTGCTGCTGATGGACATAAGATGTGCCTTTCTTGCCAGTGAACAAAGAGCCCACCACAGGCTTTTGGGTTTTCTCATCTTGCCGGTTTGCTTTAACTCACTGTCAATATGGAGAAGATGCTTCCTGCCCAAGAGGCGGCTAAAATCTACCACACCAACTATGTGAGAAACGCCAGAGCTATAGGTGTGCTCTGGGCCATTTTCACAATTTGCTTCGCTATCATCACCGTGGTGGTGTTCATCCAGCCCTACTGGATTGGTGACAGCGTGAACACCCCGCAATCGGGATACTTCGGTCTCTTCCACTACTGCATCGGCAACCCCATCACCTCGGAGCTGGTGTGTAAGGGGAGCGTCCTGGACTTTAACTCAAGTCCTTCAGGGGCCTTCAAGACTGCCATGTTCTTCGTTGGCACCTCTATGCTGCTTAATGTGGGCACCATAATCTGCTTCAGTCTCTTCTTCTTCTGCAATGCTGGCAGCGTCTACAAGATATGTGCCTGGATGCAAACCGCATCAGGTAAAAGGAAACGTTATTCTCTTTTCAAACTGACTTGTAGTATCTTCCAAAGAACAGGCTCATATTAAAAGCCCCCTTACTAGAAAAAACAGCTGCTCATCATCAAAACCAGCATATTGTCACTGTCGGAACAAAATCTCCAAAATGGTCAATTTACAGGTGAAGAAAAAACATTCTTACCTTTGAACTGAAGTTAATATAAGGGCCAATGACAAATAAGGTTTTCAAAAATTACAATATTTTAAAAATTTGATTTAAAAAGTGTTTTTATATCTGCATATATATTTGCTTTTATATCTGTGTGTACTCTCTTTTTAAATATAGTTAGTTTTATTAAAGCTTTTAATTGCCTATTTCAGTTATTAAAACCGTACTGGTCTGGTTGAACCATTTGACTTACTGGTTGTGCCACCTTTTCAGACTAATTTAAAATTAAACAGGCATCTACTTAGACACCCGTAGAAACCTTTGTCCTTGAACTTGCCGAACAATTTTATTTAGACTTGTATATAATTAAATCACCTTTTTTTTGATGGTTTACTTGATCAACATATATGATTAGATGGCTGCATCAACTGACATTGTTAGACTCATGGAGGCAAAAAGAAGCTAAAATAAATTTTATATAGATGCACTTAAAATTGTTTCACATTAAAGAGGTATTGTTGAATAATTTGCTTTGTCATGGATTTATTAAATAATCTTTTGGGAAAATAATGGACTTGGACACAAAAAATGCATGTCAGTGAACAATAGACAGGTTTTCAAGTATTTTTGGACTATTTCTCTTTGTTCCTTTGGCATGTTCATTACCACCAGTTTTAACACAACATAAAGGGCAAGTGGAGCTTTCAAATTCTGCAAAAATTGAGATTTTTGCAATGGAGGTTTTGTTGCAATAGCGATGGTATGTTGTTTTGGACATGTTGGTATGTTGTTTTTTTTGTTTTTTTTTGGTTACGTGTATGACGGACAAACTTCTCAGGATGTCTCCCTGCTGAAAAGCTTTCTTTTAGGGTCAATAATAACTAATACAGTGTAGTGATCTAGACACCAAAAGGTGTTTTTACATGTTTTATTCAATATCTTACATATTTTGTGATAAAGAAGAGTTTATTAAATGATAAATATACAATAATTTTGTCAGGTTTTTGCCACATAAAAATGAGACATTCTGGATGCTTATTTTATTACAAAATGTTATTATAACTTAATGCTAGTCATTTTAGAAATGTCTGCAATTCTGTTTTTTATTTCTTCTTTTCAGCTTCATAATGTCCTACTAAGTATTTGAGACCAGTGAAGTAGCACAGGGTATATTAGAATAATTTTATACATTTCTGCAAATAAATTGGTTTGATTTTATTCAGAATATTAATTCCAAACTTTTGAAGCGTAGTGTATACTTTTTTCTATCTTTACAGTCTTACAGTACAAGAGTAGCAGTAGCAGGGAGTGAATGCAGTAGTGAGTTAATGCGGTGTTCGGTCTCTGTGCTGCAGCTGTGCTGTTGGTGATGGGCTGTATGATTTACCCGGACGGCTGGGACTCAGCTGAGGTAAAGCGAATGTGCGGAGAGAGGACGGATAAATACACCCTGGGCAACTGCACTGTCCGCTGGGCTTACATCCTCGCCATCATCTGCATCCTGGACGCACTCATGTTGTCTCTGCTCGCCTTCACTCTAGGCAACCGGCAGGACAAACTGCTACCTGACGAATTTCAGGTGGAAGGAGAAGGTAAGACTCACACCTGTATCTCCAGTATTTAAAACAAGAACTAGGAGAACTAAGAAAATAGACGGTGTAGCACACTGCTTGATGTAGATTGGACTACAAAGTCCAGGTAGCCTGCAGTGATCGTCAGGAGAAGTTAAATCATATATGCTAGTGTTGGTAACGATTAATGAAATCTAGCAGCCACCACCATTTGTTGCTTTGTGGGTTTTTTTTTTTTTGGGGGGGGTAATTCAGTGTAAGATTTCAAATTTATACAGAGCCTCTGAAATTACATGGTGTAATTTTATTTTTTATCTGGTGAGCACCACAGTATGTTGTGCACCAACATTTTACCTTTAAAAGCAAAACAAAAAACATATCCTTTCAAAAGCTCTGCAGATTTTATTTAAGGTGCTCACAATGTAACTCAATTTTGTCACCACAGGAAAAGCCTGAATCCAAAATCCAGAAAAGAGTGACAGCATTAAGTATGAAGAGGACAGCTTCAAGCCCCTGAACATAGACCAGCAAGGTGGATGGATGGATGGATTACATTCTGACTTCAATCCAGTTGCCACTAATTCAATGAAACGCCATGTAAAAATTCATCTACAGCAGTAATTGCTGTATTTTATAATTTGATAATGTTTTCCACCCACTTGTATCGGAGACATTTTTAGTGCATGCAGAAATACAGAATATTTAGTTTTATTATGCAATCTCATTCATCTGAGCTTGGCTCCAAGGCAGAGGTAACTGTGTCTCTTTAAATATTTATACAAGACCAAATGAGACAAACGAAATTGCACCCATCTTCCAAATGCTTTATTAAAACAATCTGACAAGCTAAATAATCTTAGCTAAGATACAATAGTAGGATTTCTTTAAAAACTGTACATGGCTGTAATATACAGATCAAGGCAAACTCTTTGGTACACATATATACACAGACACACATCATGCTCGCACACACTCACAGAATTTCTTTTTCACAAATTTTTTCTTTTTTTACGTTACTTAACGGCTACTTGCTTTGTGTGGAAGCTTCCTGAACATAATTACCTACTGAACAAAACAGTGAGAAAGAAAACTTCCAGATATGACTGACCAAAAAAGGGCTTAACACACATAAAAGGAAAAAAACCTGACATTTAGAGTTAAGCCAGAAGTACACAGTGGTATGGCATTTCCTGAAATAAACTACAAACCATTTCAAACTGTCTAAACTCAATTCCTATAGTTTTAATGTAAACCTAACAGTTCCCTTTATACAGCTTGCTATCTCCGGTGTGCATCTTCCCAAAACTGGGCAACATATGTAACAAAATGATCCTCTGGGTGTGGCCTTACACTACCCCCAAGTTCAATTAAAGCCACTTATCTAGCAAATATACAGGACTCAGGTCTTCAGAACACAGGAGAAATACTACAGAAGATGTTCCCTAAAACTCTTCAATGTGTTGTGCAAATCAAGATGGAGGGGAGAAAAAAAAAATAAATCAAAGAGTGTGCGGAAGAACCCCTGCCTCATGAAAAGAAGTCTCAAGACTTTAAAAACTACCTGGAAACAAAGTACTCCGCAGGTGAAACAAATATAGAAAACCACACACAAATACACAGACAAGTAGTATTCCGATATGCGTTCAAATCTGGAAAGTGTTATGTTGCAGTCTCTCTTTTTCATGGAAGTGAAGGAGAATGGAAATGTAATGGCTTGGATGAGCCACTAGAGGGTGAGCCAGGGGTGGCACAGGCATTCAGCAGCTGTGGCTCGTTTCTCAGGGACAAGCTCCAGCATGGGAAGCAGAAAGTCTGTGAAGCTCTCAGCCTCTTCCCGCGGCCACTCGTACTTGTCCAACAGCACCTCCAGCAAACCCCACGGCTTCAACTTCGTGATGTGCTTCAGGTCACCTGTAGAGAAAAACAGTTCACGCCCAGGACTCACTAATACATGCAGAATACAGATTAATCAGTAAACACAGGGATGCACGAAGACATCGGAATCGTATCTTTATCGGCAGATAACGGCTTATAAAAATGTATTTCGGAAGAGCAGACTGTTTAGTTGGGCTACTGGGTTGCGACTGTTTTTCATTTTACTGCATAATAAATAAATGTTTGATTTCTCCATAATGTTAATCCAGGATCTAATCTAAATTTCTGAATTTGTTGTTTATGTATCAGCATCAGCTCACAATTCCCATATCGGTGCATCCCTAGTAAAAGATGCACGTGTGTTAGGGCTACATGATTTGGACAAAAACCAACACAATAGAAACAAACATGAAGTCACAGTGCAGTCATAGTGAAAGAAGCATTTGTCATGTATGAAAGCTTGTGAAATGTCAAGGGATACACTTTATTCAACGTCAATATCTAATGCTGATTAGTGCACACAGATATCGGTGAGCGTTTGAGTGCTCTTTGAAATTGGAGATGTCCAAGTATGATGCGATATGAAACAGGCTGCTGTGTAAGAAGTCACAATTTAAACCGTGCAGCCCTTACAAATGAATATTTACAGGAGCAGATAAGGACATCCTCAGGTGTTAACGAGCAGCTGTACTTCAGATAGAAACACTTTTGTTCTTTCTCTCACAAACAAACACATACATGCACACCTTTTTGGCATTCCACACATACAACACCTTGATGCCACTGCATGGTGTATGACAGCACTACAGATACTTCCTCTGCCAAGGCATAATACCTCTTGAATAAAGATATTAGGCTCAGAGCTCTATATAAACATTCATAAAACCTGATTATTCAATCTTACCTTCGATTCCTGTCCACCGACAACAATTTAGTTCATTTGTACATTTTTAATATCCGTCATTTTCCTTTCTACTAGCAACAGGTCATAAAAAAAAACTACCCCTTTAAGGTACAGCAGTGTTCATAAAGCTACGTGATACCTACATAAGCCCTTAATGACAAATTAAATAGGCCTACACTGACATTTATGAACAGTTTAGTCCATTAGGCGTCATTTGTTATAAAGGTTGCATTTGACAGCTCTGATCTTTTCTAACATTAGGTTGGACAAAATTATTGTCACCTGACATAGGTGTTATGTCAACATCAAAGTTGACAAAAGCAGCCTTTATGACAAATGACGCTTACTGGAATAAGATTCATGGATCCATCAACCAAACCAGTTCAAATCAGAGATGAAAACACATTTTGAACTAACTTTTAGACTAAAATCCTTTTGCTCCGAGTGACTTTATACCTTAATTATGTTTATATTTTATTAAAACCAATGATTGGACAATCCATTTTGGTCACAAAACAATCATAACACTACTGAAACTATAATTCAAAAATGTTAGCCAATATACGATCAGCAAACACAGCTTTGAACAGTTTTTAACGAATAAAATCAACATTTTTTAATAAAACACCAAAAGTTTACTTAACTGCCAAAAATGTGTGTAGTAATAATCCTTAAGATTACACACTGATTTCAAACTAAAGTTTAGGACTTTAGGTACTTCAAAACAAAGGGATCTAACTGCTCACCATGTGGTCATAAAGTACAGGGATGCGGTCTCACCTCCTGCTCTAAAATGCGGTCTGAAAATATAGTTTTATTTTTAACAGTTTTTTTCTGTGGGACTACAGTTATAGAAATAATTCACTAGAATGGTTCTTATAACTGTTTATGTAGGTTTATGCCAGCTTATGTAGGTGTCATGTAGCTTTATGAGCACTGCCCTACAGTAAAGTGATCAGAAAAAACAAGGAATTCACAAAATACAGTTACCTTTCTTGGTGAAAAAGTCCTTGGAGTATTTTCCCGCCATTATGAGTTTGCGTGGGACCATCCCCAGCAGCTCAATGATCAAAGCAATGTGGTCTGCCATTTTGCACGGCAGCACAAAAAGGGGGGTGTTGTGAAGGGGTTGAAGAGAGGAGGGAGGAAGGGGGTGGACGAAACAAACGACAAATTGATCAGACACAGTTAATAGTCATTTATCCACCCTGGGAGAGGAGGAGGATGCAAGAAAGGAGTCTGCTCAACTCTGACAGCATAGAGAAAAGAGTCTGCAATCTGACTGCTTCCATTCTTCTTCTCTCTAACCAGCTTATAACTCCTGATGACTGGTCAGGGAGAAAATTCTAAAGCAAAAGGTCAATACATCTGAAATACTAGTGTGCAGCTTTTGAGTTAATAAGAGCATCCAATTTTCACTGGATGGAATGTTCAGTATCTAACATAGAATGGTTAAGCATGTTTTTGCAGCTTGGAGAGTGATGTCCATGTTTAAGATGTGCTGTCAGAGAAGAACCTGCAGACTTCTTTCCACTTTCACCAAGGCCCAGGGTGGAGCTCTGCCAGCACGACGCGCGTACCTGTCCGGCTGAAGTATTCCTGCGAGAATTTCCCACACAGAGCATAGTGACGGGGAATTCTACCCAACAGCTCAATGATCAGAGCAAGGTGGTCTGGAGGAAAAGCCGGAATGGGAGAGGGAGAACAAGTGGAAGCAAAGAGAGGATGGATGGATAAAATGAGAGAAGCAAGATAAGAAGCAATGGGCATGGTGTAAAAAAAATAAATAAATAAAAAAGCAGCTAAACAGATGATGATGGCTCAAAACAATTAACAGGCCAGTGTCTTGCTCTCCCTAAATACAAGAACATTTCACACTAACTGCTATGGCACTTTCTTGGAGATTGATCTTTGACAGATTGGGGTTTAACAAGGAGTATAATTACCCATAATCTGCTTTGATCTTTTCCACAACACAAAAGTTAGAAACTGTCTAAAATTCTGCAATTTAACATTCAGGATCTAATGATGTTGGTTAATAGAACAATTGGTCTAGGTCAGGGATAGGACGTTCCAAACCGTGAAGGACATTACACAGGAAAACAAAACACTGTGCAATGCTGTGTCCTTCCTTGAGTGGACTTTTTCACCTGGGTGCAGCATAGCAAGCTAACCCTTTAACAGTCACATTCAGTTTGCTGAGTACTAAAGGTACTTGGTGTCAATTGATAACATATTCTAACTATGTCAATCTACCGCTGCCGCAATGCGAGGAACAGAACAAGTTCATGATGAAATTCAGTTTTACAATCAATTGAATACTCAAGTCGAGAAAGGGAGAGTGACGCTGGGCATTGTCCTAGTAACAAATGGTACAGCATTGATGAGAAGAAGAAATTCCTTCTTCAAACACACAAGCAGTTTTCATGGAGATTCTGACATTCACCAATGTTTTCTTATTTGGGATTTGTTCTGAGGTAAGAACTGAATCTACGCACACTCAAGAGCACAAAGGTGCAAACAGTTTTGCGGTTTAAAAACACGTCATAAATCTGACGTACGCTTAGGAAGATATTGGTGAATGAGACCCAATGTGTTTTTGTTTCAAATAAATCTTGCTCCAAAAGCATACGCGTAATTGTACTTGGCAATTGCATAATGATATATTCAAGCCTAATTCACTAACTGCGCGCCTTGCTGGCTTCTATACATGTAACTAAAAACATAACGTACAAAAAGAGATTTACTTGGTTTCTAACCACTGCCAGTTCAGCTTCTGTCACTCCAGATTAATTTAAGTAGTTATGTATTTGCATTGTGGAAAAATTACTGAAAAGCATACAAAGTAATGATAACTTCCTATAAATCTGTGAGCTCACTGAACACCAGCTCCCTGCACTGTAAGACCAGCCTTTTCAAGTGTTGTTGAGTAATAAGAGACAAAAAGGATTTTTTGTGGTTGATTTCTAACCTTAAAAACATGAAATGATTGTGATGTAGTAGTAACATAGTAATGTAGGGCATATTAAAAGCAGATGGTTAAAGGGACACTCCAGCCAAAATAAAAAATATGACGATTGCTGCATCTGCTGCAAACATGCCTACTTGCTTCCTACAGTGGTAGTCCCAAGAGTGAGATTTACCCATTCTGATGATGTATCTTGAAGAGGTGAAGAATTTTTGAAAAAACTAAAAGTGCTCTACTGTGGGCGTGGTCTCTATGGCTGCATGATGTATTTTTATAATGCATGCTGGGATCTGCAGTGAAAGAACACTGATGGATGACAACACAATATGGATACAGGGCTGAGGGAAGCAGTTTTGCACCACACAATATTACATTATATGAGAAATAACACATGAAATGCTAATTTTAGGCCAAAATGTTCCTTAGGTGTGACCCCCAGAATACTAGCCATCACCATGAGATCCATATAGACACACAAATCCTAATTCTAATAAACCTCTCAGCACAGCTTTGCATAAAAGCACTCTACAGGCAAGAGCGCTGCTTTACACAGACATCTTAAACTTGAGAATCACATCGAAAAGTCTCAGACTATGTGATATAATTTTTATAAGTAGCTGTTCTTAATACAAACAAAGCGTGCCAAAAGACCAAGAAAAAAAGAAGACAAGTGAGAATTAAGCAAAAAAGCAAGAACTATGGAGGTGAGTAATGAAAGAATGAAGAATCCCATTCAAATCCATTCGGAATAATGCAGCTCTGTGAGAAGGGAAACAGACCCAGGAATACAGACACTGTAACATTTTCATGTTCTTGTAATAGTACACCTCAAGACCAGCCATATCCTCTGCACTTGCAGTTAGGATCACAGAGAGCATAACAGTAGTAAATTCTGTTCTAAAGCATATTGCCTGCAGCAAGATATTCAGCATTCTTAGTCTTTGTTCTTCAGTCAAATTGAGAACTGAAGTTAGTTTATGATGGGACAACTCCCTAAAACTGAAGTGACTTCAGTTGTTTTTAGCACATGAAGGGTTTAAAAGGAGAATCAGCACAGGGCTAAAAGCGTTTTTCTCAACTGGAATAGGAAGTGAAAAGCAAACAGAAAGTGGAGAAAGGAAGAAGCAACTTTACCTTCATCTCTGGAGTAATCTTCACCAGAGTGGGGCTCAAACAAGTAATCCCCAGTGGCAAGCTCAAACGCCTGCATTGGAGGAACAAGAGAGGCAGGGAGGAAGGGAGGGGAGGAGAAAGAGAGAGAGATTTAGAGATCTCAGGAAATAATTTGAAAATTGTGAGAGTTTCTCTTCATCCACTCCTATAAGCTCTCACTTGGTCATAATGAGCATTCCAAGTAAAGCACTACATTTAGTGAAACATGTTGGTAGGTGCAGGTACACACACTATGTTAAATAAGAGTTTACGTGCAAACAACAGTTAAAAACTGCACCTAATAATGCAATTAAAGTAAATAAAGTAGACATAAAGCATATATTTCTTTTGTCATGTTAAAACTACATTAGTGCTGTAACTGATGTTTGTACTGTATTATACACAATACACAGTGCTGGTCTCACCATACAAGCTGTGCTCCATACATCAGCTGGTGTGCTGTAACCTGCACCAATCAGCACCTCTAGGGAGCGATACTGCCTTGTCTGGATGTCCTCAGTGAAGTGTTTGTGCTGCAGGAGAGAGCAGATTTTATTCATGGGCCATTGTTCAGATCAGCCATATGGCAGATGTGTTCTTAACAACACCAAGCAGCAGAAAAAGCAAATAAATAATCCCTCCCATGAATAATACCAATGTGAGTCCTCAATCACAAAACATCACCTTATAAGACATGATTAGTACTGTTACTGCTCGGTTACGCTGTAACAAAACTGCTATGCTTCAACTCCCTGCACTGGGCTCATAGCAGCTTCACTTTAAACTATAATGCTCTTTCAAAGCATTTGATATACCAATTAATCAAATCAAATAATTTACTTGTATAGTGCTTTTTACAACAGACATAGTCACACAGCAGCTTCAGAGAGATCTGTGTTTCAGCCCCTAGTGAGCAAGCCAAAGGTAATAGCGGCAAAGAAAATCTCACTAAGAGCAAAAGGAAGTAATAGGAGAGGAACCAAGATTTAAAAGGAGGAATATATTCTGCACTGGTCAACACCAGTTAACAAATTAATCTTATTATTTAATTAATTAATCAAACCACTATGACTTCTGCAATTTCCTCTCACTTTGCCCCTGTCACACAGCGGTTCAATTAAAGTTTCAACATCAAAGTTTATGATGCAACAAAACTATAGCATACACATTTCCTACAACACTTCCTGTAAATGTACTGCAATCTGTCTAAATCACTGTGTGAATCACAATTTTGGTAGTTGATACCAATACTACTGACATTTGATGATCCTTTGACCAATTTGATACCACAGTAAAAGCAGAAATATCATATTATAAATACTGTTTAAGTTTAAGGCCACATCAAATCGACCAAAATTCTACTATCAACAATCATAAGTTTGGGTTTATTTGGTACGTGTGACCCATCATATCATACACAACATAATGAAAGTAAACACTCTCAAAAAAAAAAATATATAAAATAAAAAGAAAGAAAGGCAATACACTGATTATTTCTGAACGTGAACTCTTTGATTTAAATGTGACAATTTGGTTTAACTAATGTCAGAAATATCTGATGTTAGACTGATACATTTGCAAACTGGGTTTTAATGTCCACTGTATTACCTTGCCCCAAATTTTAAGTATTTCCTCATGCTCTTTCTACTGTGTTCTACTAGATAAAAAAAAGGAACCACTGGTGATCACGCATGTCGAAATCTGCAAGTGGAAAATGAAAGACTGGAAAATGCTTTTAGATGGCACCGGCCAGTGCTGATGGCACCGGTGTTAAAAGTAAACTGTGCTGACAGTGGCTGATCCACAACAGGTGAAGGGAAAGGTAAAGCCTCTCACCACCCAGCAGGCGTTGCCCAAGTCAGCAATCTTGACCTTGATCTTGTCTGAATTTAGCGGTTCCAGGGGATTGATCAGTAGGTTTGCTGCTGCCAGCTTAGCTGTGTGGGGTCAAAGAGAGGCAAACAGAAAGTTAGGCCCATGTCTGCATTCTAAAGTAATTGAAAAAAAAAGATAATGAATGAGTGTGAAAAAGGGGAAAACACAGAATCTTCTACACATTAACAAACAACACCTAAAAGATAGACTAGTTTACAAAAAAGGTACATTTAAAAGCAAGTTTAAGATAAAAACAGCAGTCTGAAGTCTGCAGCTGGCTGACCGTTCTTTAGGCTCTCTTCTGCTGTGGCCTGGCTGTCTCTTGCAGGCATTGGCCCATCCTGTAGCTTGTCCTGCTCCTCGAGCCCCAGTTCTCCCTCCTCCCTCACGTCTCCATTGCTGTGGTTCTCCTGCCCTGGCACAGGAGAGCTGGCTCCGTTACAGTACTTATAGGGGTTCTCTTCTGAAGGTCCCGCGTTAGCATTGTGGTCGTCTTCCTGGTTCAGCTGTATTTTTTGTTCGTCTTCTTCACCATCTTCCTCAGGTAGAGCTTGGTTGCTGGGTAAGTGACCATTGCAGTTGAGCTCTGCTGAGGTGTCTGAGGCCAGCCGTTCCCTGGGGTTATCTGAGTGGAGAGGACAGAACTGTTACTCTTCTGGAGTCTGACATGGCGGTTTATGAAACTCTGGCTCATGCTGAGTAGATCTTAACTGAAAACATCATGTCTGTTAAAACATTCAGGGAAGTAACTCAAAGCACATCATCCATACAACTGAAGTTGAACTGTGAGGAGCTGAATCCTACTTAGAACACAAGACGTAACCATTTTACCCAAACAAACTAACCTATTACTTCCTCTTCAGCAATGTCCTGAAAAGAGGCATGCCTCAGAGGTGCACAAATAGGTGATTTAGGGGATTGTGGGTCATCGTCCTCTTCCTCTGCTCCCTCTGGCCCCTTCTCCATCTCCTCCAGGTCCATAATGCACTTCTCTAGCAGCTCTGCCTGCCGCTTTTGCTTCTTTTTCAACTTCTTCTTTTTGTTCTTTGACATTTTGGGTGCCTGGGGAAAAAGGATGACGCAGTCTAATTGTACTAATGCAAATTTTGTACAAGAAGGCAGTAACAGAATTGGGACTTAAGTAAGCTGAGCCCTACAACTGTATGGTGGAAGAAATGCAGCATGTTTTCTTGAGAAGATTTTTTTTGAGACCATAATTAGGAAAACCAACATGCCCAGTTGTCTGCAAGACTGCTGACTTGTTTTGGACACTTTAGAACTCCTTCTAAAACCACAAGCAAACTTACTTGTTTGGGTACTGGCGCTGTACTCACTGAAACAGAGGAAAAGGGTGAAGTCAGCTCAAAAATAGACTGAGGGTTACACAACAAATGCACATCACAGATTCCACGGTCGCTCAATAGCAATGTTGTAGAGCCAAAGAAAGTGATCCAACTGGCTGTACTGGAGAGCACAGGGAACTTTGTCAAGATCAAAGGGCATAGTGAAAATAAGATAACAAAACAAAAAGCGAGAAAAAAAAAAAATAACTGAGCAAGTTCTATCAGGTCTGTAATATGCTATGAAAGTGAATGTTTTATCAAGACAGTGGAACAAAAGAAAATATTCACATATGATATGAACAGTATGGATGTGGAGGTGAGAGAGAGAGAGAGAGAGAGAGACAGACAGAGAGAGAGAGAGAGAGACAGACAGAGAGAGAGAGAGAGAGAGAGAGAGAGAGAGAGAGAGAGAGAGAGAGAGAGAGAGAGACAGAGAGCGAGGAGAGACCTGCTGATCCAGATGGAGGGGGGGCTCCTGCTTTCTGCCATTCTGTAGCTTCGGCTGCCAGTCTCCTCACATATGACTCATCTACACTCATTAGTATGTTCTCTGGCTTTATGTCAGTGTGGATAATCTTACACTTTGTGTGCAAGTAATCAAGGCCCTGCAAAACCTGCGACAGTAAACAAATACAGCATCAATCCCACAATTAAGTAATTAAACAAAACACGAAATGTAGACTAACTGAACAATACATTAATAGTCTTTGGTTGGTGAAACTCCACAGAATTCTTATTATTACAGTATTGATATCAATAACATAAGTAAAAAGGGTGTTTGTACATTACAAGCGGTTAACGATAACTGACCATCATTAGCCATGCTCAGTGGGACATTTATGCAAGAACGGGTGGCGTTACCTGTCGAATGATGCTCTTGACGCAAGGCAAGGGTAAGCCTTGATAGTTGGACTTGATAATCCACTTAAGTAAATGGTGTCCCAGCACTTCAAATACCATGCACACATCTGAGAGGTCAAGTTAAGAACAAACCTTTCAAACATTTGCAAACATTACTGAGAGTCACAAATAGATCACTACAGGTTAAGAACATTTGTTCCAATAAGAACATCAGTGACAGAGTGCATTCAACCCACTATATAATGTTATACACACACAATGTGATGCTTATACACAATCGATTACACTTCACATAATGACAACACAGATTATCCAAGAGAAAATACCGTGCTCTGCTCGGTTGTGTGGTTGCTGTAGGTAATGAGAGGAATGTGAAAACACCTTGAGAAAGCAATGTAACAGATGCATTCACAAACAGACTAAACTCAGCCTGGCCTCCAGCATGTGTCAGCATTCTTAAACATTTAAAAAAATAATAAATACATATGCACACCGGCATGCACACGAACACATACGTGCTTTATAGTAGAGGATACGGGTTCCGTTGACTCCAGAGATTTTGAAGTCATCCAACAACTGAACAACCATCTCTCTATTTGGATCATTAGGGTCTGTGTTTCTAACCTGAACAGACATGAAAAAAGCACAGAGTAAACCATGTCACTTATTCATACAGAAAATACAGCCAATTTACAGTACTGTGCAAAACTCAGAGACCATGATTCATTTATCCAATTTCCAGTCAAAAGTCATTAAGCACATTTTCAGCATCAGAAAAAGCAGAAAATGTATATTTAGTTGTTCTGGCTTATGTGTCACCTTCTATGAAATATAATATACATTTTAAAAGTATTTAGTTCATCTATCTGTTACCTTTATTATAGCTTCCATTCAGGAGACTCGCTTTCAGTTTTTCACAGAAATCTGCAGGTATATTTTTCCGTCTTAAAAGTTGCATTTTCTGCTTCTCACAACCCAAGTAATCCCAAACACATGCAGTGGTGTTGAGGTCTGGACTTTCGTCCATTGTTATGAGAACACCATCTGCTTCTTTGATTTGCATTTTTTCTTCTTTTCTGTCTATTTACTTTTCTCAGTAATGGCTTCTTGACAGCTACACATCCTTTCAGACCCATAGCGTCGAGTTGTCTTCTCAAAGTGAAAGGATGGGCAGAAACTTTTTTTCCCTATCTCACCAAGATGAAAAGATGTATTGTTTATCTGCTGGTGACAGTTGGGATACTCTACAAGATACACGGTTGATGGGAGTCCCATTTTCTCTATATCTTCTAATTACATTTTGAAATTCAGTTTTTATTTCTTTTTTTCCCCTTTGACTTTCCTCTTACCTGTACTTAATGGCTGTTCACTGGAAATTAAATAAATGAACTGTACCTTTGTGCACACAAGCATGAAAATGCAAAGGGACAGACTGGATTTGATTATATAGACTTCATACATTAAAGTCTTCATAAATGCACAGGAAATACACATAAATATGGTTTGATTAATCAAACTAGAATATCAATTAAAAGAGAAAATATTTAACCAGCAAATACACATACCACATTCTTCTTAGTAAGAGCATACACAACTCATTTACAGTGGCACTGAAAAGTGGATGTGGTGGTGCATGAGAGTAAATCAGGACTCACAGATCTCAGCAGCTTTATCTCATCCAGGGCTGTCTCTGTGTAGTGCTCTGCACTCTTTACCACTTTCATTGCCACAAACCGTTTCCCTCTGGACACAGAGAGGAAACAGAGAGAAAAGTTTGTAAAGAAAAAGACAGAAAAGCAGAGGAAAGAATGATTGAGATTCAAGAAATATACAAGATAGGACACAAACAGATAAAGAAAAAATTAAGAGCGCTTTTAAGATTCTAAAATCGGTTTTCTTAAATTCCTCTGACCATTGATGGTATAACTCACTGGATGTCCCATGCAAGCCACACTGTTGAAAAATGGCCCCAGCCCAGCTTACGGATCACATGGTACTTCCCATTATACAGGTCCCCTATCTTCACGTGGTGGTAGCCACCTAGACAGCCAGGAAAACAACATTTGTAACAAAATGAAAGAGCACCTAAGTATCTAAACTACACTAGTCCTAATGTGCCTTAGGTGATTATCTAAATTTCCCAATTCCTTATCATTTCCCGCCACATGCCTCAAAGATTTATCAAGTAAGCGCAGTCCCACAACTATAGTCCTCAACCCTGGTCCTGAAGTAACGCTGCTTAGCATATGCTACTATTTTCTCGCTCTAACTAACCAGCTAATCGATAAACTTTTCCTGAGTTGAAATGGGTGCATCAGAGCAAACTCTTCAGTGATAAGTCTCAAGAATCTTTTGATGTTCTAGCCCATGACAGCAGTTCACTTTTTACTGAGCTTCATCACCATAACAACTTATACTGGACGCTTAACCTGCTCCAGGACAGGTTAAGTTTGGGATAATGGATCATAAACAGCTGCTGAACCAATAAGGGCAACCTTCTGAGGGAGGTGGACCTTTTTGGTGTTTGTGTCAATCACATGAGAAACATCATCTTTCAGCAGAGGAAACAAAATCATACTACACAGATATCAAGAAGGTAATGCAGTTACTCCAATAAGCACTAATACAATGGCAATGGCAACAGCATTGCTTTTTAGCATTATAAATGCTTTACTTTTTACATTATTACATGACAAGATTTCTTCTTCCTTCTTTTAAAAATAAGCCTCTTGACTCCTCATATTCCAGTTACTGTTCACTATTAATGTCACATTTGCAAGTGCACAAGATTTAATCATAGCTTGTGTATTTAAACCTAGCTTTCCAGAGTAAAATTGTTCACCTTCATTGTGAAATGTTTTAACCCTGGGTGCATTCGCCAGGTTTTGTGAAGCTAAACTTACTCAGGAACCTTGTTCAAGTTAAATGTGTGACAGGACCCAAAATCAAGGTTAGGAAGCAACAATACAACAACGTCAGACACATACACAGGGCAGACAGGCATAGACAGGAGAAGACACTGTATTTAAGAACATGTGATGCATGTTCGGACTCAGCATTACTGCTAATACAACACTGCAGCTCACCTTTGCAGTAATCGTTGGGATCTTCCTGTTCCTCATCATCCGAGCCTAGGATTTCTTCATCAGGCTCCAGCTGCTGAGGCTCTGCAGGTGGTGGCTGCTGAGGCGCTCCTCTCGGTTGATGAGTAGGCCTAAAGAAGAAAGAGGATTTTAGGCTCGTACTAGAGCAGCTCGACAGTTATCACTTAAGTTATGCAGTTCAGATTCTGGGAGCACGCCTATCATTTCATGGGCTATAAATTGGGTAACTTCCTTTCTGTTCTGAGCGAATAGCGTAAATGAACTGAGCAGTCAGCGTAATCGTTATTAAATGGTGAGGAAAAACCTTTACTTCCTTAAAAATAAACTTCCTTTGCACAGGTTTCTGACTGAATGGAGTCTAACATCGTACTACAGAGTCCAATACTAAAAGTACTCATGTACATAGGAAAGTTTGTTTTATAACATTCTATGGATACCTTACTTTCTTATGAATTACATTTCTGACATAGCAAAGCTTCAATTAATCATGTAAGACGGATCAAACCTTTAAAATAAAATCAAGCGTTTACACAACAGCAAAATATAAAAAAAAAACAAAAACAAAAAACATTCAAACGGGGGACACATTCAATAAAAACTAATTGTTTCTAAAGGTCTGTACATGAAAAATAAATAACCCAGTTTACAAATTCCTAAATAACCTTAAACTACAAATGAGTGGGCATATTTCAGTCCCCCGACATGTTCTCTCCAATTAGGCTCTCCCATAACAGGAAGTCCCCTCCAGTTAGCAATACCAGTTACTTTTAAGCAACAAGGATGACAACTAAGTCTGGGAAAATCATAAAAATTTTAGCTGACGATTAACTGTCGAAAAATAAAGATCAACAATTTAATTGTCTATTTTGTTGATTGTATGCAAAGTATATGCCTAAAGCAGCCACGACGGCTGTTTAGCTACCTTGCTTTCAAGCTATCCTTACTTTAGTAGCGAACAACAGATTCTACTGACGTGAAATGATATAATGCACTACTGTGTGCACAATTTGTCCATAGTTACAAAAAATCGTACGTAGCACCAAAGCTTACGTTTTTTTCTTGAGACTGTTAAAAGGTGAGCGAAAACCAATTGTTCTGCAAGTGTACATGCTAAACTTAGCTTTAGCTGTCCCCTCAGCAAATAAACAAACCTTTCCTTAAAAAAGCATCCAATTAAAAGTTAATACTTTTTTGTTTTTGTGAGACCCATAATTCATCTCAGTTAATGTGTTTCCTGCTTACTTATTTAAATTTATTTGTCTCAATCCAACTGACTGAAAATGTATCCATTTCACATTATGCATATAGCAATGCAATATGATTATTTTCCACAATCACAATCAGTTTAAATAATTGCAATAAGGCCATTATGTAATAACTGTGACAGGCCTGATGGCTGACAGCTGAATCAGTTCAGCCAATCTGCCACGAAAATGAAAAAAATGAAATAAAGTGCATAACAACAACCTTTTTCCATTTTAACAGGTTCCTTAATACACTTCCATGTTGAATTCTGGATAGGTAACTACAAACTGTTAATAGCAGGTTTAAACAAGAATTTGCCAATACTGAGGCACTTTCAGTTTTATCCCCAGTGAGACACCACAATACAGCAATGCCATGCTAACACAATTCCTGAGGAAAAAAAAACAACCATTTATCTATAAAAGTGGACTGGAAAAAAAGCATGTACTTTTGGAAAGATTCATACCAAAGACTTTGGGGTAGCATACCTTTTATGTTTAGGACTGGCCATCAACCACACTGACTCGGCTTTTAAATGAGCCATACTTTCAAAACAAATGAACTAGTCAAACAAGTAGACACTTGCCCTGTATCATGAAGGCTGTGTAGTATTGAAACAGGGAGGAATAAAATCATCTGTACAGGCCAGTCACAAAACTTCACAGAACCCACATGCTGACAGATTCATCAAAACCAAAACAACCCAGGTATGACACCTGAACAAGTGAATATAGGCCCAACCTACAGCAGCAGCATCTATTTGACCTTTATCAAATGCTCTCTGACAACAGGCTATATATGGAATGCACCATTTTCTTAGCCAAAGTGTTTTTATATAGCTCCATGCGAAGGTAAGTCAAGCTGTATTTGTCCCTGGGTAGAATGTGTACTGCAAACAAAGTATGAAAAATTAGTGGATAATAAGTAATCATCCATAGATTTGCACGTGTATTTGCGGCCCTGTAGAGGACCTGCATGGCATGCCTTGGCCAGTAAAAGTCATAAAGCTCAGCCCATTTTTAGGTTCCTAACACAAAGGAGAAATCCACAGATTTTTCAAGCGTTCTACATATTAAATCACTTACATCTAAACAAAGGCATTCAGAGTTTTGAGAGTCTTCAGAAACAGAATTTTCCACAAAAGTGTTGATAGGAACCAGACATCCAAAGCATTCAATGACTGTAAAAGCTACCTCACAGAAAGCTATTACACCAAATTGTGATAAATACACTAAGTAATGCAAGTGTCACTGTTTTACAATAGTTCAGAAACAAGGTTTTGGCCTAAAACATATTTTTTCAAAATGGATTCATGGCTGAGAGGTACATGCAGGGCACTGACAGGCAAATTTGTACCCAAAGAAAAATCCCCTTATATTTACCACTATTTTACCATAACCAATATTACATATAAAACAGAAGACACTGTAGGTTTACTGGTCATTTTGTATAGTAACTACAAGTAAATAAAATGGCGATATCCATCTTGTAGACATCCCGCCTACTGTAAAAAACAAAAAACACACAATGACTTTGTTTACCCATCAGTGACTGAATTATGCGGAGATTTTGAAAAATCCATGGATGTTCTTGACATTTTGTAAGTAAGCCTTTTCCTCTTTCTCTCCAGACTGAGCTGAGCCTTATAAAACGTACAGAAAATAAACTCACTTCTTGGTTGACTTCTTGGCTTTCCCCCTTTTCTTCCTCGCCTGAAGTGCGAGAACTGTTATGGAAAAACGGACAACAAAATGTTAACTTTTATTAAACAGGGACAGGGAATGTCATGTATGTGCGTGTGCGTACACACACACACACACACACACACACACACACACACGTTAAAAATAACACAAAAAAAAACGTTATTTCAGGAAACAACAGTACACGCAGTTACGCAGGAGAAACACAAACTTCAGACAGACTTCTGCAAACTTAGGACTGGCAAAAACCCATACAGCTATTTAGGACAGTGCATTTTAATTTGAGGAACATTAGCTTGTTTGTTCCACGATGTCCTGAACACACTGCCATTGGTTAGTAACCTCTTAGAAAGGGGGAGCTAAAACAGACCACTCGTATCAAGCATTACAGTTAACTAACCATCCAGTAAAGTCAGAAATTATTCGTAAATCATATATTCTATAGCCTCTAGAGTCATTTTGTCGCCAGCTGAGGAAAACGACGTGGGGAGCTAACGCTAGACTGGTTGTTAACCGATGAGATTCCTGAAGTTTCCATGTAGGGAACGGACAGTCTGAGGTAAATTAGCTCTAGCCAGACCCAGGGCTCGTCTAGCTAGCTGGTACACACAGTCATACCAAGTTTTCAGCATGTATTCCAACTTGGTATGGACATATTTAACAACTGTGAAAAAGGGCCTGGATAATGACAAGCTAAACGCTAGCGGAGCCGCCTGGCTAAGCTAACCTGCCCGCTGAGGGACGCTCGGCTCGGCAGCTCTCTGTCGCAGGAGTCGCGGTGTACGCGATGGAAATGTGATAATGCGAGATAAAATAACAACGCAGTTAACTCGGATTCGATCGTGGGACACTTACGTGCTGGATATGTAACCCAAAAAGGGCCGAAAAAGTCAATAACATTTAAGGATAATCTTAGAAGAGATTACCTTTTCTCTCCATGTTGGCCCGGTAGTTGGTGGCTGGAGCGCCCACGCGCATGCGCGGCTCTGGAGCTGCTTCTCCTCCACACCCCTTCAGTAAAGAAGGAATCCTCACTGTTACTCACATTACTGAAGGACTGAGGCAGCTCTGACCTGTAGTCAACTCAAGTTGTACATTATGAAGGCGAGCACGAACTGACCAAAGCATTTACCGAACAAAGAAGTAGTTGAACAGGGGTAATAATAGAACAGTTCATGTTCACAAATCTGTATAGTGGACTGATAACAACAGCACACAGAAGTTATAAGCCATAGTCTTATTAAAAGTTTAATTACGTGACTGAATATTAATTAAAGGGACCATATATCCATTTTTAGTGTATTTTATTTTTCCCCCTGATGTCAATTAATGACGTTTGTGTTGTGTTGAGCTTAGCAAAATTTAAGTAATTCAGTTTTACGTGATTTTCCAACGTCTCTTTATGTATTTGAATTGAACATACTGCTTTTGTCACTTTGCCTTTAAGGCTTATATAAAGTATGTCTGTTTTTGTGATGTCACATGTTGCCACGAAAATTAACTTATTTACATATACCCGCCTATTCAGCCTACAGTACAGGGTGTCCCAAAAAATTGACATCATTTCGTAGTCTAATAACATAGCCAATTCTCCCTCAAATGATCTCAACAATTAACAAAATATAAATGTAAAAACAAACCAAGTTTAATTTTTAATTTTTTTTTTTCAGGTTGAAGAATGGTGTTCACTAGAAATGAAAAGGCATTTTGTGTGTTAGAGTATGCTTGAGCACAGTCAAACAAGAGTGTGCAGCAGGCATTTTGAGAAAATTCAATAAAAATGCACCAACTGGAAAGCAGATTTGGACATGGCACAAAAATTCAAAGAGGAAGGCTGTCTGTGCAGGGCAAAGGGATCTGGACAACCACCAGTATCGGAAGATATTGTCAATCAGGCTTTGTGAATCTTTGTGAAATCGGTTATAAAATCTACAGCCCTCCGAATTTCTTGTTCGAATTTTGAGAAAAAAATCTTGTATTGTTCAACATAAAGCCTATTTAATTTCATTGGCCTAGGACATGTAGTTACTCAGATATTCACATCTCAAATGATGTCAATTTTTTTGGGACACCTTGTAGTTTAGCTCCCCTCATTTACGTTGAAGTGTTTATGTGTGGACTGCTTTTTAAAAAGGCATTCTACAGGGCATCCAATCAGTGTGGAGATCATCAGTCAAATAATGTGTTGTTAATCTTGAAGTGAAAATAAGCACTTATCTTCTACAGAGAACACACTACTGCATGTGTTTTATGCACAATTAGTTTATTTGCTGAATTTTACATTTTGGGAAAAAATAAAAATTGTGCACTAAAATCTGCAGAAAAATGCCATATTTAAGTTTGTTCACTGTAGAGGATGTGTTGGCTTATTTTTACCTAGAAAACATTTAATGTGACCAGGGGTGCTCAAACTTTGCCAATATTTCCTGATTGGCTGCTCTGTCCACATGGAAACACAGCTAACCCACTGCAGACTGAATAGGCAGATTTATATCAACAAGTTATTTTTTTTTGTGATGTCATAAAACAATACATTTAAAACAGCCTGCCTATGGTCCATAAGGAGTGGGGAGTGAATGGTACAGTCTTAAATTTTAACAATGTTTACATAATACATAAAACTATTTTATTTTTAAAAAAGAGGGAGTAAAATTAGGAAAATTCATTTTTCAATGATATGAGCCCTTCAATACATTTTAAAAGTTGCCTACAATAAACACTACAGTTGAGGTATGACTTTCACTACTCCATGTTTGCTATGAAAGAGGTCACTGCGGTCAATTCTACTTGGAAAAAAAAACGAACAACGCATTTCTGAAAAATATCTGCCTTTATTTTCTTTAATAAACAATGTGTATTTGATTATATTCTCTACAGTGTGATATCAGAAATAAAGCAGACAGAAGCAGCCACACCAGTTCATATCAACTCAGCAGTATATAAATATTTCACACTGGTACGATATTGACATTCATTTAATTTCTCTACTGTCAGCTTAAAAACAATTCCATTCACATCATGTGCTCATGTTCTCTCTTAGTTGCTCACTCAGTCTTACACACAGCTTTGAGTGATGAACACAACATAAAACAGAAAGAAATGGTGTAATGAAAACAATACAAGGCTAGAACTGGTATTTACAGGAGGCCTGAACTTATCGATGTTGTCAAAACTTTTGGAGTATCTGTCTGGTCTCCAGTTCAACCATATGCTACTGTTTGAAATTATTATTTTGTCTCTGGCCTTGAATGGGAATTATATTGCTGCATGCAGGGTCTAATGCTCTACAGTCCATATAATTTGCTTTGAATGTGAACAACGTTTCTGATAGTAGGACACAAAGATTCTGCAACATGATCCATTATTCAGTGGAACAAAACAAGAATGTAGCTTCATGTGTCACAGATGTAAACACCTCATTTTACAACCAGGCAGGTAGTAAAATTGAAAACTTTTGTACATCAACATTAGATCCACATGAAACATTGTGTTGTTAAAACCAAATTTGGCTAAGGTTACAATTTTAATCTTAATCTTTCCATCCAAGTCACGTTATGTCAAATTACACACTTAATGTGGGTATATTTGCCTTGTTGTAATATGAATATAATAAATCAGCACAAAGTGTATGGTCATTTGTTCAGATTTTGGTCAAGTTAATGCCAGATACAGCTTTGCATTTGTTTCATTGCAAGAGCCTACAGTATTGTACAGCAAGTCAGAGACTACCCCTCACATAGTTAAATTCTAAACAGCCATTAAGTACAAGTTATTAATTTTTCAGGAGATATTTCTGAGATTACGTAAAATGATCCACTTGCATGGGGACAGTGAAAATCAAAGGAAAATAAGTTTAAAAAATAGTTTCCAAAACTGGAGATCTACAAATGGTTAAAAGATGGGCCAGAATATGGGACTCCAAACAACCAAGACCTTGTAGAGCACCAAAACTGTCACCATTAGATAAACAGCACTTAAAACTTTCATCTTTAAGCGACAGAAGAAAATTAAGCTCCACTTTCTGAAAAAGTGCTTCTGTCCATTCATCCACTGTGAGAAGACAACTCAGTGCTATGAGTCTGAAAGGTAGCTGTCAAGAAGCCATTACTGAGAAAAGGGTGCGAATTAACAGATCAGCAGACTAGCAACTCCAGAGTCCAGACCTTAAACATCACTGAATATGTTTGGGATTACTTAAAACAGAAATTACAACAAACTTCTAAGACTGAACTTTGGAGGTGTGGAAAAACATTCCTGCAGATTTCTTTGAAAAACTGAAAGCAAGTCTCCTGAATGCCAAAAAATGAATAACTTTTACTGGAAACGAATAACATTTTGACTGTAAACTAAATAAGTGGTCTCTGAATTTAGCTCAGTACTGCATAGCCAACAGTTTGTTTGCTGTTATCTCTGAATGAAATGCCATAATCATTTTACACATCATTTTTTTTACCCAAATGTTATTCAGTTGTGATATTTCCAATCCTGGGCTCGTACAGTATGATTTAGCAGCAAGCTTTATTGCCATGTGAATGTTTTGTGCATACTTGTTGGCATGAAATTTGCCTGGGGAGTGGATGGAAACATGACAATGGTTTAACACAAATGCTACTTAACTCCATTAGAGGTTCCTCATATAAAAACTCCTGGTAAATGTGTCCCTTTTTGTCCTAAAGTCTTTTTTTGCTTCCTAATTCATCGGACAACAGTTATATACATAAAAAAATAAAATTTAAAAAAGAGCAAGACAAAGAAAGTAAAGTGGCAGGCACTTTAAAAATCATACTTTCGGTCTGGTAAAAGAACTGCAAAAATGACAGTGTTAACTGCAAACGCAGAAAGACTGGGCTAACGTTGTACTCCAGTCTTACATGGGCCTCATGATTCCATTTCATCTCCATCAAAAATCGGTGGCTCAAAACTGATCACCTCTTCATACGTCAAACCTGTGCAGGAATGAACAATAAACCATTAGAGCTTGTACTGCAATTGATAATGAATGAACTTAATTAATTTCAAAGAAACATGTAACCAATTTGCACATAGATAATGTGATGCCATTTCAAAGAGCATCTATTTAGAGCTGGGCCCGACCAATATAAAAACTAAAAATTCCAATAACCGATAATATTGGCCAATGCAAGATTTATATTATTAAGAGAGAAACTCAATAAATGATAGTGTTACCCATAACTCTTTGCGGTTTTAGTTTCTCTTAATTACTTATTTTTATAATTTTTTTTTTTTATTAGTTCTCTTCATAATAAAGGGTTTTTATTTTTTTGTGATACAAAAACAGTTTTTTCACATGCTAAGTGGTAGGCTTAGATAAACTTTTTTTGTTATTTTAACAATGCTGCTGTTTTGCAGAGATGCGCAATGATATCAGAATCATATTGGTATCGGCAGATATTTGCTTAAAATAAATTTGCATTATCAGACAGATGTCTAGATTTGACCGATATTTCAAACTGACATTTATTTATGTATTTATTGTAGTCTGGAAGTTACTGCACTAAAATATCTGCATTTATTTATTTCACTGCTACTGTAACCCTACAGACAGAAATTTTATATTCCCCGTAATGCTAACTTTTATATTTGATAAAGGTTTTTGTATCAGCACTGGCTGATATGTACATGAAAATATCGTACATCCACATCGGTTCACAATTCCCACAGCAGTGCCTACCTAGTGTTGTGTGTTGGACTGCTGTGATGTAGTCAAATAGGGTGGGTCTCAGTGTCAAATCTAAGGTCTTGCCCAATCATTGAGAGATCTTGAGTTCAGATCTTAGTGATGCCACGACCAAAATGTCTGCAGAATGTGACTGATTTTTTGCAGATAGCTGTAAAATCACATATCACTGATAGCAGCCAATGTTGCTCTTTAACAATGTTCTTTAAAAAGTAAAAATTAAGCATTATTCTGCTTTAGCGCAATGCTTTTTCAAACATTAAATTAATAACCTGTCTTTGAAATCTTATTTACAAAAAAGCATAGCAATCAACGCTCCACACGACTCCTACTGAAGCTCAACACAGGCGAACAGCACTGAGCACAGGCATGAAGTCAGCGCTTTAAAAAAAATAAATAAATAAATGATATTTCCCCCTCCACACAACAGTAAAAATGGAGGAATTTTAAAAATCAAAATTTTCAGTTTTAGAACTATTTTTGCCTGAACAGGAGGCCAAAACCTTTTTTTCCCAAAATATGGACTACCATAATTTGTACATGCAACACACAAAGCTATAGTAGTTTTACAAACAAATGGCATCTGTTGCAGCAGCTCTAACTGAATTCATTTTAAAAAATGTAACAATCAATTTGCACATACAGAAATAGATTCTGTCAAACTTTACTGCTGTAAAAATTAATACTGCACCTGAACATAAATTATAGGTTCCAGATTTATACTCACGTTTCCACTCTTCAATGTCCAGCTCTCGACTCTCAAAGCTCTGGTCATAGGGCTCTGCCTCTGGTTCGTCATCTGGATCATGGTATTGGGAAAAGTATGGGTGGGCCAAGGCTTCTGCAGCAGTTATTCGCTTATCTGTGTCTAAAACCAGCATTTTCTCAAGGAGATCCACAGCTGTAACAGCACAGAAATCCCAATCAACCAACATTCCGATTATATACCAACAAGGAAAGTGAATGTATGATTTATGATTGTGAAGATGCAGTCTTCAAGATGCCACAATTTCAGTAATATAAACACATTATAATCTGTTTATGAGCTGTGTACAGTAGACATTAACACCCACACAAGTATGAACACCATGCCTACTGTACGTTGGAAAACAATAAACAGCTCTATAAATCATTATGAGACCAAACTGCCCCTGCTTTGCGCTTAACATTTGTTTCTCTTACCTTGAGGATTGGCTCCAATAAATACATCCGTAAAATTCCTTTTAGGCATCTGTGGCAGGGAATTAATGTAATTCCTGGCCTGCAGAGAGAAATGGGTGACTAGTAAGCCAAGCAGACATTTAAAGGATGAGCAATGGGACTTAATCAGAGGATTTACACAAAGACAATCCCATTTAAGGCATTTACTACTTCCACTGGGATTTTTTAAATTGATTAAACAGAACATAAAGGATGTACTAAACATAAGAGATTTTGCAAATAGAGGTAAGAAGCTAAGAAGAGACCAGGATAGCTAACAGAGTAACAGGATAACTAAAAAAGCTAATTTTCCTGTCTCTTGGTAAAAACAGTCTTTGAATCTAGTTTAATTAAACCATATGAGCTACCCAAGCTTTAACAGATGAAGTCCAACTTTCAGGTTTAAATCATATGTAATTATACAGAAGTTTCATAAATGCTGCCATGATTAACTTATGCATCTTTAGATACATTAACTGAAAGCTGTGAACTGGAAAACAGATTGTTAGTAGGCAGTACCGCACAATTAATGCAGACAACTTTTCTTAGAAAGTAGCAGGTGTCAAGCAGGCAGTTTTCAACACAAATCATTAGTCAAGAAACACCTCAGATTCAGAATAAGACCAATCACAGAAAGACAGAGTGAGGAGAAAATATACAGTAACACATAATCCAAAATTATTATTTCAGGCTTTACACGGTGACTTGCAGCAGCCCACGTACACAGTATTTTATCTTTGCCTCCCTCATAATTCAGTTATGCTACTTCTTTCAATTTAAACAAAAAATCTTATATAGTGCAGCTGTAAATAAAAACTAAGTAATAAATATTTCTATTCTTTCTTTTCTGTTAACATCCTAATAATATTTACTAAAAGGGTCACAGAGATCCCTCCTTTTCTCCACTTCATGTTTCTCCTCTTCCATTTTGAAGAGGAATAGCAGACCGATGCAGCGTGCAAAAACAGAAAAGGGGACGTTTGTCAAAAATGGCATGTCACATCGCACTGCATCACTCACAGCTTGTGTAGACAGCTTGGATTATAATGTTTTGGATTTTTTTTTTTGTTGCTGTTGCTTACTTGCATCACTTGTTCAGACAAGGTATAAGGCTAAGGTAGCTAACCAGTAATTGAAGCTTATAACCTCCAAATAACTACATATCTAGAATATAACAGACTTGCCTAAAAATTGTGAACTGTCAAGTGATCTTAAACAGACTTGCTCATGTGGTTTCTGACATCGCATGACGCACTGTCATCTATAAAAATGGTCAAAAGTATGGACAAAATTTAGGCTTTATAAGATGGCTGCCACTACCGGTACTACATAAGCAACTCTATTCGAGATTACCTAACAACTTGATGTGGCGTGAGACAAGTGATGATTCAGGTACGCAGTTTGTATGATGCTAACAGGTGGCTATCTTCCTCTCTTGCCACACTAGCCTCACAGCTCTAGCGCAAAAACCAAACATGTCTTGGTGAATCGACTGCATCTACAGTAAATGAAAGACTGTATAAATTAGATTTTTGCCCTAGCTGCTGCTTCAATTAACAATTAATTTCATGAAGACGCCAACAAACAACTTACACAAAAATAATAATAATAATAATAATAATAATAATAACAATGACAACAATAATAACAATTGTTGTTGTTCATATTATTTGCTATTGTTATCATGCTTTATTTTATAACGATTAATATAATACTTCAGACTTTCAGTTGAAGCTGTTTGTGTTCACTGTGTTGTCTTTCTCTTGCTATGTTGTCTTGTTCTCCAATTCTACAACATATTTAACACAAACAACTAATGATGGAGGCAGTAACTGAAATTTTAGGTGGTGAAAGTGTACTGTGGTGCTGAATGTTTGTGATGATTTACTTTCTCTTCAACACAGTCACCAGTTTTTGCTGGGCAGCTTCTACAAACAGTTTGGTAAATTCACACAGCATGCTGGAGAGTCTCACACATTCCCGCTATCCACCACACAAGAAGCCCATCAGAAAGTGACACAATTGACCTCAGCTGGTCGCCACAGAAAACTGTGGGATGACTGGGTCCAGTTTGTATATACTGTCAATGGTCAGAGTCTTAAACCTGGGACCCTTTCACAAACAGAAACCTGTGACTGCAGGTGGTATGTCATGATTGAGATGCTGTACATGGGGTCTGGACCACAGAAAGCTCACCTCATGGCTAGGCATCCTGCTTATTAGAGAGGAAGGGGGGGTTCCTGTCAACCGCATTATCTGCTGTAGCTGGTTTATATCTTTGAGGGCCGGGTCAAGGGCTTATAGCAGACACGTTTACTGATTCACTACAAACTACCAGCTTTTGCTTGTCCTCTATTTGGAAGAGGAACAAAGAAGAGAGGGAGAGAATAGAGGGAAAGACTAGGAGACAGACAAAGCAACACAGAGGTTTGGCATGCAAACTATGGACATGGCACTGCAGAAAGTAATACTTTAGATAAAGATGTGCAATTGAAATTACAAATCGTGGTCAGTCCCATAGAAAACACAGCTAGCACCAGCACCAAAAGCAATTTCAATCAAACAATTAATTTAAAATGAACATTAAGTCCATTATATTGAAACAGATGACCAAAATTAGGTCTGCAACTTGAAGAAGGCATGTCACACAATAATACACAGTATGCTTTATACAGAGCCTCCTTTATTTTCCTATTAAGATCATTTAGAGGAAAAGGACACACAGTGTCACTGATGCGAAGCATTGTGAAGCATCAAAAGCTATTTGAATGCTAACGGCCTGTGGAACATTTTCAGCCTGCTAAACATGAGTGGGTGAGTGAGTTGGTTGGTGGGTGGGTGGGTGAGTGAGTGAGTTCTTTGGTGGGTGGGTGAGTGAGTGTTATGTCCTCCAATTACTATGGATTACATACCAGCCACTAGGTAAATCCTGATAGGAAAATATAGAAGGCTATGTACAGCTACTGTCAAATACACACACTAGATTATGCAACAATGTGAAAGCATGCTGCAAGAAGAGGCTGATTGTTGGTGAGATTCAAAAATCAACACGCAGGTCAGGAAGGACACACAGCATCAGCTCGTTTGAAAAAGCACAAAAGGAAAACATCTCCCAAACATTACACTCACAGAGTCTGAGGAGATTTTCATCAACAGCTCGGGTCCTGGAGTTCCAACAAGCATCATTATAAGTTTCAGTTGGTCAATGTCTACCATTGGAATATAAAGGAAAAACAGTGGCAAGGCAGAGGCTGTAGCCACAGCTCAGAGTACTACAGGCTCCAGCACCATGCAGCTGTCATCACTGGCATGGCATTTCCTAGAACAGGATTTTACAGGTTTAGCCTGAAGCTACATAATGTTGCTGTCAGAGGAAAACACTACCTCCAGTTTAATTTTTTTTATTCCTAGACTGAATACTGCAATGTAGTCTGGGCTTTCAGAGTCCTGACAGCATTTTAGACTTGATCACTGAAAGAAGCATAAAATATTTTCAGTGTTTAGTGTTGGTTGAATGAAGAAGTTTACCCATTCATGCCGATGGAAATACAGTAACTGGCTCCAGAGTGTTGGAAAAGTATAGAAATGGGAGAAGATTTCAAAATACAGCTACCTTGCTTTAATACTATACATGAACAGAAATCATAGTGTGCACTAGGGGTGCGGGAAAAAATTGATTGTTAGATGCATCGCGATGCGGACATGAATGATAATGAATCAATTCACAAATGTCAAAAATCGATTTTCTAAATATTTATTTTATAACGTAATGTTGACGGAACGCAAAAGGCGGAACTTGGAAGTGCGGAAGTGCAGCGCCCAGACAGTCTGTGGCGGCACATAACAAAAACAACTGGATGGGCGAGAAATCCGACCAGCACCCTCTTTAAAGCCAGGTCTGGTCAGGAGTCACAACACAAATGTTAAGAAGAGCCATTTTGTCCTTTCAACAAAAATCAAACCACCTTCAGAGCCGCAACATTTAATGTCCAGTATGTCTCAGTATGTGATAATGTCCTAGTATAGGCTGAACAATATAAACGAAAACGCAGATTTACTTCGCTCTGCTTTAAGCTTTAGCTATAGCCGCTTTCCTCCCATCACCGCCAGAAAACCTTTCCTCAGTAGATCGGTTAAATGTCTCTCAACGTTCAACTGTTTTACGAGGCTGAAGTCGCTTCTCATTCTCCAGCTTCTTGTTCGAATTCACCCGTTCCAATTCGAAAGAGAAGCGACTTCAGCTTCGCCACTTTTTACTGTTTGACAGTCTCTCGTTGCAGATTTAACGGACCGGGAAACCAACTGCGCTGCTTATAAATGCGAATAACGCATCATTGCTATGTGACCTGCAGTCTGCACGCCGGTTCTCAGTCGTTGCGAAACAGGGCTAATAATTGTTTTATAATCGCATCACAGCCCTCTGACTCGTGATCGAATCGAATCGTGAGGTGCCTAGAGATTCCCACCCCTAGTGTGCACTATAAAGTAAAGCTGCCCAGTATATCAATGTTAATCATTACTGCAATGTTTTTATACAATAAAAATGCTGAAAGCATCTTGACTAATCACAGTCATATTAATAAATAATATCATCAATAATTTAAACTGGCAAAAATAATGCAGGGCAGTCTTTAACCAAGCCACATTTTTGATTTAGCTGTACATTCTTACATGCAAAAAACACAAAACAGAACCATCACTGTGTTGATATACACTGTATTGCATATGAGAACGTAATTATTCTATACTGCCAAATTCATACTTTCGCACAGCCATGATAATGTACAATATCTGTTGGCCATATCTGTAGAAAGCCCAGAGAGACTTGCAAGGTAAAAACAGAAGAGGCCTCAAACTTTCAGAGCAAAAAACTCGCCCAGAGCGAAAAAACAAGCCCAGAGATGTAGCACAGGTGTGTTCTATGTAGTGATGGGCTTGAAGTGGAGCTTAGTGCCAGTGGCATTAAGAAGAACCAAGCAGTTGAGTCTCTGAGTCAAATGTATGCATCTGTGGGATGAAAATACGATGTGGTGCTGGAATGGAAAAAAGGAGCATTAATCATTAGGTTGCAGTCAGAGGAAGAGCATGAGAGGGGAAGAGAGAGCAAAGGGGCAGAGAGAGGGGCAAAGCATTCCTCACAAGGCTGCTTGTAGCTTTTCTCAGAAGTGTGGATCACATTTCCTTATTAGCACTGGTGCGGTGAGGCTAGAATAATAGAGGAGGGAAAAAGAACAACATGAGGCTGAACTTTCTACTCTAATACAACATACACTTAGCACTGAAGGAAGTAAGAGAGGAAGAGCACTCAAATATGTTAAAGGTTATACTGATGTGTTAAAAATGTATGATATCTGTACAGATACAAGCCAGCATGCAAGGTTCAAACAAGCCAAGTGCTTTCTCAACTGAGGACTTGAAACACTAGTGCAAAGATTGCATGTGCTTAACATGTCAACTGAAGGATACGGTCTGTGCCAGGGAAGAGCGTCCTCCCCGTCAGCAACTCGGCCATAATGCAGCCAACCGACCAAATGTCCACTGCAAAATGAAGCCAGACAATAAAGCATCAACAGCACATTAAAACAATGGCTTAGCCAACAATCAAACGTACACAATTTCCCCCTTACCAATGTAACCAATCAGCCAAGACGTGTGGAGTCCAAAGAGCTTTAGTTTTGCACTGGAGCTATAAGGGTAATGTTGCTAACAAGTAATGGAAGCTTATGTCCACTTAATTGTACAAATGTAACAATACAAAATATTGTATTTTATCAAACTGTATCACAATGTATTGTATCGCTGTATTGTGACTGGCAACTTAGCTTGTGGCTAGCGTTTTAGCTTGTGGCTAACGTTAATCTGAGCCTGGAGCATTAAATGCTCTAATAAATTGAAAATAGAAACATTAATGTACTAGCAGAACGCACATTTTCAGGCACTCTTTTTTATTAAGAATCTATCACGACACCACTGTATCATACTGAATCAAGCTCTGGTGAAATAAAGCCAGGGTTACACTATACAACTTTTAACGCATTTTAGCCTTGACTCTAAGTCTGGCTGAATCTGGAATTTGGAATCAAAAGTTGGGAGAGTAAATCAAGTAGTGTGTGAGGGATGTAGACTTTTTAACCTGACTCCAAACATAACCTAATAGTGCAACCGAAAACCACAAAAGAAGTAAATACAGCAAGTAAAAGCAAAAATAGCAAAAAATCACTCCTGTGTGTAGCGAAGCTTTTTAATGAACTGAGATAAGGTACATGTACAATCCAGTTTATGTATATCTAAAACTCTAAAAACTACCAGACTAATCACATCTTTAAATCCATTACCCTCACTTAAATATGTGTACCTGTTGCTTCTTTACTTTCTATTTTCCATATTTGTACATACCAGTATGTCATAAAGATGTCTGAATACATACAATATACTGAAAGACAATACATTTGAACACATACAATATATTTGACAAAAAATCTCATTTAAAATAGTGCTGTCAATATGAGCGGTCTCTTTTTTAATGGGAACTACCTGGGTGCATCCTATTAGAGTAAAGCAGACAGGGAATGAGCAGGGCTTATGTTATAGATGCATTCACGCTAGAGATGAAACGGTTACCGGTTTCACGGTAAACCGCGGTAAAATTAATGACGGTTAGTAGTATCGTTTGAACTTTACAGTATCGTTAAAACCGCGGTCGATTACCGCGGTGTGAAAAACTCGGAGATTCGGAGATATTTCAGCCTTCTAAGAAGACCAAGTCTGACGTTTGGTCATATTTTGGGTTTTATAAGAATGTAGAAGGAAAGTTAATTGAAGATGACCAGCATGTCTGCAGAACAGGCCGAAATAAAATAGCGGCGAAAGGGGGCAACACATCAAACCTTACAAGTCATCATCTAATGAAGAAGTCTGTGGGGACTTCGAAATAGAAGAAATGTCATGGTTTGTGTGGTTTAACTTTTGCTTATGGTTCGTTAATAATGTTAAATGAAGCTTTTAGCGTCAAAAAAAAGAACAATCGGTGAATCAACTGTGAATCGAAACTAAAGCTTGTAACACACATTTCTGTGGAGCAGAGTCTCCAAAATGAGCTCTGAGTTAACAGTCACACACATAGAGCACTACTTTTCAAACAAACACGATCATCATTAACAAGCAGTTGAGTTTTAAATAGGGAATTTGTAGCCTGTTGTTAATGTTGATTATAGATGACTTAGTCGAACGTTTCCTGCACTCTTTGGGTGAAGGATTTGCTATTTCATGATCCACGAAGTGCACTACATAGAGAAGATAGTGTGCTTTGAGACGGGACCTCGCGCGAGTAAACGCTGTGTGCCGCTTTTAGGAAAAGCAGAGTTGAGATTAAACTTTAGGAGTGTTGCTGCCGCAGTTCAGATGCGCGTTAATTTTAAGGTATGTTTTAGTTTTAAAATCCATTAAGACCCACCTCAGAGTTGGTCTAGATTTAATTCTCTATGCAGGGAAATCCCTAGTTATTGTAATTATTACTACTACTACTACTACTAATAATAATAATAATAATAACAATTACAACAGTAATAATAATAAGAAGAAGAAGAATAAGAATAGTAATAATAATAATAATAACAGTAATAATAATACATTTGCTATTCTTTTGTTTACAGAGTATTACAAGTATTGTAAGTAATACAAAAGTAATACTAAAATTGTATTGACCTTATTTTTTAATGTTTATGCAAACAAAAAGTGCACATTGCTGCCAATTCTATTTGTGTTAATATAAAAGTTGGTGAAACGAGTTTCAGTTTGTGTATCAGTATTTATTTTTTTATTTATTTTACTTTTCAACACGTTTGAACAATATCGCGATAATACCGATAATCGTGATAATTTTGGTCATGATAATCGTGATATGAAATTTTAATATCGTTTCATCTCTAATTCACACTCAACTGACTGGACTTTTTATAAATCGATTAGAAATAAAAGCGGTAGTAATTTTTGGGGTTTGTGAAGGGCAGCACGGCAGGCACTAAAAAAGTTTTATACTTTCACTATCTGAGTTAAACCAATCTTGACCTCTTATTAAACCTGAAAATATGTGCATTGTTATGCCCGTAGTGCGCATGCATGTATGCTGTGCACATGATGCAAATGTGAACATATCAACATTAATGTGTTTATGATCACAAGGCACACGTTCAGGTACTCCTTATTTTTGCTGCATCGAAAAATGTATTGTATCCAGACACCACTGTATCCTATACATTTAATTTTGTGTACCTTTACATCCCTTGTACGTCAGTATGACTTAACTGATCACCCACATTCAGGTTAAGGGGAAAATTGTATATGTTTGATTTTTCTCTGAACAACAGTCTTTAAAAACTCTACTTTGCTTTCTTAAAAATTCAACTGCAGTCTTAAAGTCAAATGTCATTCAGAGTGAGGGGCACATATTACATAAGAATAACCACAGCAGACAGGTATGCACACGTGTCTGAGATGAATTTAAAAAAAGCCTACACTTAACCCAGAGTTACAGTCTGAGGAAAGCAACGAACCATAGTTCCTACATTTGGCAATGTGTGGTCTGCTGCAAATCATTACAAGAAAATAGGAGAAGAAAAGCTATGACATTCATCTGAATGTTTTTTTTTGGCTTTTACACAGGTCTTTAATGCTATATTTAAAGAGGAATTCCATTATTTTTTCAAAATTTCTGCATAATTAATGGTTACGGTGTAAATAAAGTCATTCAGAGTATTCTGACGTGAATGTGCTTCATTCTAGAGAAACTTACTGATAAACTAACTAACTGAGCCACATCAAAGATGACTATAATGTGAAATGTTATGAATATGCTGCCTGATGCCTGTAATGTTTTACAACAGTTTTGAGAAATTTTAAAATTCATTCATGGTGGAGGGAAACATGGAAGGCAAAACAGTCCCTATTTTTTTCTTTTTCTTTTCAGATTTCCAAATATTTTACCATGATCAACATATAAAAACTCAGAAGACCTGTGTAGGTGCACCAGACATTTTGGATCATAATAAAATGACTATATTTGTGTTGTACTGCAAGCCAAGTTAATAAGTTTCTCTACAATGAACCGTTTTACATCAAACCACTCTGAATGACTTTGTTTACATCTTAACAATTACATCATGCAGAAATATTAACATCCACCTTAAAATGTCCTTTTAAAGAATCTAAAGGATAGACATCAGGATAGGAAACTGACAATGGCCTTTCCTACCTGTATTTGTTGTTACTACTGGCTTGTTCATAATTCAATAGGAAAAAAAAAAAACTTGGGCAAAAGCATAGCTACACGCATCACATGGTCCGGTTAACACTGTAATTAGTCATGGATACATTTATTTCAGAACCCACTGGCCTTAGTTTTTCTTTTTTACATCCAAGCTAGATAATCCTTTCTTACCTGTCATGTTGTAGTGCATCCAGTTGAGCATGATCTCTGGAGCGCGATACCACCTGGTGGCCACATATCCTGTCATCTCATCGTCTGTGTGCCGCGCCAAGCCAAAGTCAAGGATCTGATAAAAGAAAAGACCAACAGCATTACAGTATTAAAATATTTTTAGGCTTGAGAAGTAACACAAATTACACTTTCACGCATTAAAAAAAACATAGCCATGTTAAATGTAATAACTACCATTATCAACCAACTCCACAACCAAATATTAACAAAATATAACTGGAAATTGTATTACAGCATGACCAGAGCTCAGCAACTTTATCTAAAGTTGCATTCAGATTCAATCATGACCCCTACTGAGGCGATGTTCCCCAGGCACATGTCTGAAAAGGCTTACTAAATTGGCCTACCTTAAGTTCACAATCTTCATTCACAGCTAAATTACCGGGTTTCAGGTCCTGAAAAAAAGGAAATATCTTATCGGTGTTTTCATTTTGGTGGTTTTTTTTCAAAAAGACTTTTAACTTGTTAAAAGAACGCCACACAAATATACAAGCACATTAGGTAAATCTACTTTAGTGGAATGGTAAATATATATATATATATATATATATATATATATATATATATATATAATATATATATATATATATATATATATATATATATATATATAAAATCTGGTAAAATGAGATCCTATTGGGTGTTTAAAAAAGATGCATTTAAAAATATGCAATTAATCAACTGCAAAGTTCAATCAAGTGAACACTCACTCTGTGAATGATGTCTGCTGAATGGATGTACTGCAAATCAAAGAGGAAAGAATAATTTTTGAAAAAAAAAAAACTGTTTCACATCTTAAGTACATTAGAACATGAACCAAAAATACCTTACACAACTAATTTCACTAAATAATTTATAGTAAACTACAGTTCTGGAAACATTTTTAAGAAGAGTTCACCACAATTATTATTTAACAGGGGTTTATTCAGTCTCTGACAGACTATATTCTGTGTACTACTTCACCTTGAGTCCTCGAAGGATCTGGTAAATAAGGAACTGCACATGGTCATCAGTCAGCTTCTGACACTTTACTATGTTGTTGAGGTCAGCGCCCATCAGATGAGTCACCAGATATCTGCCAGTCACAGCACAGAATAGAGATGAGGATTTGGACTTTTTACCTTTCACTCCAGAGATGTAGTTAAAGAACCCTCCTACACTCATATAAAACCATATATACGTGTGTAAATATCCTTAAGAGGAGTGAATGGATGCCTGAAGCAAACTGCATCAAACGGCATTTTGAAATTAACACTGGACCTCACACAACTAAATCAAAAAGCTTAAAAAACCTAATGCTCTCCTGATGTGGTGGAACACTTTTCCAGGAGAAGCATGACTCAGCAGCTGGTATTGTCAAGGCTACTGCCATTAACTCCCACATGCAGAGGCCTTACAAAGGCTCTTGCTCTGAAACCAACACTGCCTGATCAGACTTAATTACGGCGCAACGTAACATTAGCCACTGCAATCGCCTCCTGATCACTCTGAACTTGGTTTCCGTTGTTTACAGACCTAAAGCCAATGGCTAGCATGACACACTTGGACACATGCATGGAGCCACTGGTATTAATGTTGAACAGGGCCTCCGTTGCACTACAGAGAACGGCTTAAAATAAGTCCAGCTTAACCCTGGAGAGAGATTCTCTACTCCCTCCACGAACACACACAGACACAATAAGCCAAAAGACCCCTCCCTTTCTCATACAAACACATCCACAAACATCAGAGACAAACAAAACTACACTCAACTCCACCCACAAGCACATACAATACACACCCACACATGAAAGCATCTAACATTACATGCACAGTAGACACACTAACACCTCGTTCTATCGGCAAGCGAGCCTTTAAATAGAATCACAACACACGTCAGCCTTCAGGATGTCTACAGTGGAAGTCTGCAAGTCAAATCGAAAAGTAGACACGCTCAGCTCAACAAACGCTCAGCTCAACTAGAACATGTCTTTTCTTCTCTGAACATTTTGTAAGATTAGGATATTTTAGCTACAGCTTTAATATTTGTGTAGCACATCTGAATGGGACAGTTTATGACCGGTAACAAAAAGGTGGTATAACTACCTGAAATATCCAGCACTCTAAACTGTCATTTCAGCCAATATCCTTATAAAATTAGCTGGATTACTTTCTCATCTATTTTCGACCAGTTTAACAGTGTTTTAACAAATGGCGGCTGATTTATCAGCTGTATTTTTGTGAGGTGTGAGTATTTTTTGAGGTGCAACATCAGCGTGACGCGGCAAAACTAAAAACAGGGAGTTTGTTTGTTCCAAAATATTTTAATGAATTTTTTCATGCAAAGCACTGGCAATGATCAATGACCATCTGGGTGAATCCTCTCAACATGTGTCAGTTGCACGTCAGCAGCACTGTGTTATGTATCACCATGTTGCACAAAAGTAAAAAAAAGTACCCTTAATTTATTTAATTTTCTAATTTCAATTTTTTAATTTCAAAATCATCATTTAGTACAAATTATTCATTTTTCAACATCTGAAAAAAAATAATAATAAATTTAACAGAAAGTTACACAGAAGACCTAACAATTAAATATATTATACAATTTTACATCCTTTACATACTTTTATTGCAGCTTCCATTCTTTTTAAGAGACTTGCTTTCCATTTATTTAAAAAATCTGCAGGGATATTTTTCTGACACATCTAAAGTCCAGTCTTAGAAGTTGGTTGCATTTTCTGCTTCTCATGACCCAAATAATCCCAATTACAAATTTAGACTCATCAGTCCATAAAACCTTGCACCTCATATTCCAGTTTGTGTTCTGTTCAAAATGTCCTTTTCTCAGTAACAGCTTCTCGACAGCTACACATCCTTTCAAACCCATAGCACTGAATTTTCTCCCAGTGGATGGATGGACAGAAAAAACGAGCAAGAGCAGCGCTTGATTTTTCTCTCTCAAAGATGAAAGCTTTAAGTACTGTTTATCTGAAGGTGACAGTTTTGGTGCTCTACCAGGTCTTAGAAGTCCCATTTTCTTTTTATATCTTTTAATAAATTTTTTAATCTCCCGTTTTCAAACTTATTTTCCTTTGTCTTTCCCCTTCCTTATGCAGGTGCCTTATCTTGTATCTAAACTCTTCAGAAATATTCCCTAGTCATTTAAGAAGTACATGAGAAAGAAATGTCTAGTTTTTTGGGTAATCGCTTGTGTGAATGTTGTTTTTAAGATTGGAAGAATGGAAGAGTTGAGTGTCAGTAGAGAGCACGAAAGTAAAGAGTGGACACATTAAATATTGACACATTTGATATTAAACTCCATGTTGGAAGCTTCTGTGTAATTTCCTGTTAAATATGTTTCCTGCTTTCTTTTCCTGACGCTGAACAATGAATAACTTGTACTTAACCACCGTTTTGACTGGAAATGGACTAAATCAAGCACTGTCTCTGACTCATGTACACTGTATGTATGTATTCACACTTAACTGGTACCAGAAACTGTGGTGTTTATAGAAAATCATCTTGTTTTTGCTGTGAAGTCCCAGTGCAGACAAAGTTAGCAGTGGGGGGGCTAGCAGTGGATGCCCTTCATTCAGAGAGGTGAGTCTATCTATATTTTTGGCTACAGCAGACACTACACGCACTCCTGCAGTGACACCCTGGCCCTTTCCTGACCTGTCTTACCCAGTAACACTGATGACACCGGTCCAGCTGGCCGGCTCAGGCACTCCTGTCACTTCTGAGCCTTTTCATGTGGAGCTCATGTGTTCAGCCCGGGCACATTTGGCTTTATTCCTACTACCTGAACTCTGAGCAAGACACAGCATGCCTGGATAACAGACTCCTAACAAGTCTTTATACAGCACTTTACTGCAGCAGTCTACTGCACTTTACAATCTCACCTTTCAGCAAACCATTTGTTGCTGTGGTTTTCAGATCCCATTCTTTTAATTGTATGTTTTGTTGTACACTGATGAGAAAGTAATGGGCTAAACTGACTTGGTTCAAATGCTATAATAACCGTCCAAATAATAAATGAATTTTAGAAAAGAATTTTGTCTTTTACTTCACACATTTTTGGTAATACTTTTGCTGAGGTAACATTTTATGAATATGAAAATGATAGACATTTGAAACAAGTAAATTTAATGCTTTACAGCTATATGCAAAAGTTTGAACACCCTTAATCAAATCACGTTTTGTTGATTTTGTAAGTGAAAATGAGTTAACACATCCTCTACATGAAACTAATTTAATCATGTCAGGCTACATGTGCCCTAGATTTTTCCCCCCAGTATGTTAAATTACGAACAACACATTACAAATAGCAAATAAACATTAATTGTAAAACATTAATTTAATAAAATTAATAAAAAATAAAAAAAAATCTACAAACTATGTAATTTTACCAGGGCACGCAAACCTTCGCATACAACTGCATACTGAAGCACTTTGATCTGCATTGATATATATAAAATGTGCAATATAAAAATCATCATCATTATTATTATTATTATTATTATTATTAGCAGCAGTAGTAGTAGCAATAATCAGAGTGGGTAATATGACAATATTGTATCATTGTTGATATACTCAGAAAAGCATACTGGGACGCAATATATCAATACTTTAAGAAACACTAACCAACTGCACAACTTTCATCACAAACACAGGATTATTATCCCTTTCTAATTAGACAGTGCAGTACAGTTAGTAAATAATTTATTAGGCACTACTAGTGCTTTTTGTTTGTTGCAACTTGTATATTGTGAAAATGTCCTCATGTATTTGATCAAACAACTCATTTTAAAATTTTTTTTTTAGAAACTGTCAATTTAAGTGATCAAATTCTTTGCAACACAATAAAACTTGAAGATAAATGTGTTTTTTCCTCAACTTTTCTTCTCATAATGTGTATACTGTCCGACTAAGTACTAATTAAAATATACATATTTCACAAAAAAGTTTGTAATTTAGGTTTTATTTTTTACTTAACATTTTCTTGTTTTAGTTCACATTCTTACAGTTCATCAGAAAAACATTAAAGAGATTCAATGCTAAAAAGTGCTTAATATTGGTAATGAGAAGCAGATTTAGACATATGCAAACGTTTAAACACCGCGGTCAAATTGCGTTTTGATGAAGTGAAAATAAGCGTCCTCTACACATTCTCTACAGGGAACAAACTTACACATGGCATTTTTTTGCCAGAAGTTTTAGGGCTGTACGTTTTGAGTTTAACATGTTATATATATAAAATATAATATATAAAATGTGCTATAACTTTTGCACATGCCACAAATTCATGTCTTATTTTTTACTCCAATACGTTAAATTCAGCAAATAAACAGTAATTTTGCATTAAAATGTGCAGAAGTGTGTTCTCTGTAGAGGATGTGTACCTTTTTAACCTAAAAATAACAACAAAACATGCAAAAGTTTGGGCATCCCTGGTAAAACTACGTTCTGCATATGACTGTACGTGTTAGCCTTCACTGATATTGGGGCTAGCAGGGTAAAGGCACAGGGATGATTGCGGATTAGAGGGTGGGCTTAGACAGGAACTGTCAGTTCTAGGCCACAAGTCCACAGAGGCCCAGAATAACCTGAAAAGATCTCAGCCCATACCTGAGCGGTAATCTGGAGCAGCAGCACAACACAAACCTCCAGCCTGCACCTTCATATGTTGACAGGGTTAGGGTGTCCCAGTTTTTGTTGAGATAAAGGGGTAGGGCGAAGAGTTAGGGCTACATGGCCCTCCAAACGGAGGTTTTTCAGAGGCTCACTCCAAATGAAGTGTTATCAGAAAAAAAGAAAAACCGGCAAGATGGCTGCGCGAGCGACCAAAGAAAGCCACAAATGTATTTTCTCCGTTAAAAAATTATGATAACCATTGTATTATCTTAGTTTAACGTCATTTCAATTTATTATGGTCGTTTTCATAACAAGCATAAAAATCACTGATAGCATGCTAATGTCTTGGTAGCTAGCTAGCTAACTTTCCCGTTCCACCTTAAATAGTCCAACGTAACTGCTGCACTATTTAAGGTGGAACGGGAAAATTCGAACAAGAAGCTGGTGAACAGCTGATTTCAGCTTCGTATCACCAAAGAAAGGGTTAGGGTGACACTCAAAAAAACAAGGGATAGGGGTAAAAAGAAGAAATGGGATTGGGCCTTGGTTTATAGTTTTCAACATTCAGCACTCAAGCAGAGTTGCATTGCACAGTGCTTACTTGCTCATTTAGTGTATGTGACCACACCTAATCTATAAATACCACAGGTAACTGACAAAGAACTTCAACTTACATAAATGACACATGCAAATGATATGAAAGTATGTGCTTCAACACAGGTATGGATCTTGACCAGTTTCAGTGATACACACAAAACCCAATGACAATTATGCTGCTTCAAATTCGAATAAGTACAATTACTCTCTTTTTAAAAAGCCAGAGTGGAAGTAGGTCTAAACAGCCTGCTGCTACAGTTTCCCTGCAAAATATGCTCCAGGACAAGCATTTATACAGCTACAATTTGAACAGTTAACAGATAATACATACGGTGATAATTTCATATTTCTTGTAACTATAGTTGCTTATTTGGGTGTTCTAAATTTGTATAATATCTGAACTGATTTAAATGTGCATTAATGCCTTTTAAGCAAATTTCAATGAACTTTCAAATTAATTTTAGTCACTACTATTTAAAACATCATGCTGTGCTTTGTTGGATTAGAACCGTCTCAGTGAATGACAAATAGGAAAAATAAATTTAGAGGACTCTTTGAGTCACATGAAAAGAAAGACCAAAGGCAAAACTGCAGTCTGTCCACAAGATAGAAACCCGTTCACTTCTGTATTTTAGTGGTCTATAAATTTCACTGAGTGAGTGACTGTTGATGCCAGACGGTTTGACTTTAAGACAAAGGAGCTCTTTTGTTCCTGCAGCAGTCAAACTTTATGATGAATAGCTTCTGAGATGATTGTACACGTTAGTTTTATTGAAGTACCTTTTAAGTGATTATTATGTAATAAAAACCCGTGTAATGATCTGTCTGTTTAGCACAGCGTGTGTTATTATGTCCAGTAAGCAGTAACACAGTCATATGAAAAAGTCTGGGCACATTTTTAAAGTACATTTACACAATTACATTTTTGTAATTTTTTTTTAATAATTCGTTTCGTTGATTTGAAAATAAGCTCACATCCTCTACAGAGAACACACTTCTGCACATTTTAATGCTCGATTACTGTTCATTTACTGAATTTAACATTTCCGAAAAAAAGAAACATAAAATGTGGCAGGTGCAAAAGTTAAATATGAAAGTTATTTTAAGTTTTACTTTTTTCCTCAATATGTTAAACTCATAGACAAATATGAGTTTAACAAATCTCTATTTGTCAAAAACAAATAGAAATTGAGCACTACAATTTTGGAAACAAACGCCATATTTAAGTGTGTTCCCTGTAGAGGATGTGTTAACTTACTTTCATTTAGAAAATCAATAAAACATATCATTTGACTGGAGGTGTTCTCTTTTTCTTTATAAAAAAAATAATAATAAAAAAAACAACATGCTGTCCCGTTCCAAATCCTTTACTCATGTATCATGCCAAAGTCTTTTCTATTCTGAGACACCACTTAGTGATCTTCCAGAGTGACAATGCCCACTACTCACTAGGCTCATATGCTAAATACTTCAAGCATCAGCATAATACAAAACTATCCGCCATTGCCCACCAAATATCGACTCAACTAAAGACAACAAGAGATTCATCAAAGTAATTTCTTGAGACACTATCTAGAAAGACCATTCCTCCACAACGCATTCAATAACTCTGCACAGGAGAACTGATATTATGTGTATATTTTATGTTGAAACACCTAATGCTGTTAAACGGATGCACAGTAATGACTACTTGTGCGTCAACATGACAAAACCAAAGGAACAGCACAAACAATGGTATGTGCAGATTCTATCAGTCGTCTCTCTGGAATTCCATTTAAGCTAATTGTTATCTTTGAATCACCCGGGAGTAAATAAAGGACTGACAGCTGAAAATGAGAAAGAGCCTCACTCACACATCATTAAACTCCTCCAGACTGGTAGCAGGTGTGAAAACATCCAGCAGGCCTATCACCTGTAAAAGACAAACAAACTTGAATGTCTCGCTCCTGCAACCACTAAAGCATGTGGTTTAAAACATTTACAGTACTGTGAAAAAGTTAGAAACTAATTTTATTGTCATTCAAAATAGTTTTAAATAAGTTAAGTTCATTTTTCAGTGTCAGGAAAACAATATATACATATATATATATATATATATATATACGGAAATTACACAACTAAATATAATATCATTTTTTGTTCAGTATTTAGTGTGCCAACCCTTCATACTGTGCTCCCCTTAGTGTGCCTTTTGTACACTTTTGTACATTTCTCATGAGATTATCTTTTATGATAATCTCATGAGAAATAACCCTGAAAAATGAATAACTTGTACATAATGGTTGTTTTTGACTGGAAATTAAATAAATGAAGGGAGGTCTCTGACTTTTGCACAGTCCTGTAGGGAAAGGTCAGCAACAGCATGGTTGCAAAAACAACAGCACATCTATTTTAAGCACCTTCTATATTCCTTGATCATTTAAAATATGCATTGAAATACGACACCGTGTACTGTTCTTGTCGGGAGATTGCTTTCAGTTTGCAGAGGTATTTTTCTACACCTCCACAGTTGAGTCTTAGAAGTTGGTTGCATTTTCTGCTTCTCATAATCCCAAACATATTCACTAAAATTGAGGTTAGGACTAGGGGTGGAAATTCAGTTATTTTGAGAACACCAGTATCTTTGATTTGCGAAATGTCTTCCTTTTTGTCTATTTCCTTTTCTCAGTAATACCTTCTTGACAGTTACACATCTTTTCAGACCCACAGCATCGAGCTGCTGTCTCAAAGTGGAAGGACAGACAGAAACATTCGAGGGTTTTCAGAAATTCTAAGTACTGTTTATCTGATGGTGACTGTTTTGGCGGTCTTGCACAGTTACTGGAGTCCCATTTTCTCTGTAACTTCAAATATTTTCTTGAAGTTTTTTTCCCTTTTAGTTTATTTCCTTTTTCATTTTTACTTTTTCCTTTGGTAGGTGGAATCTCTTATCTGATCTCCTGAGAAATACCTCCTAAAAATGAATAACTTGTACTTAATGGTGGTTTGGACTGAAAATGAAATAAATGAAAGTAGTTCTCTCACTTTTCCATAGCACTGTAGGGAAAGGTTAGCAGCATGTGTGCAAAAACAACAGCACATCTGTAATAAGCTCTATATTCTTTGATCATTTCAAATGTGCTGTAAATACAAGACCATGTATTTTTTGTAGTCCAAGCAAACATGCTAAAATTACTCACTTACAGTTAGACAAGATTTTAGGCAATTAAACACTGGCATTCTGATTTACCAAAATGTATACTGATATAAGTGCTCCCCCCACCCTACTGTGGGTTTTCTTTTTCACAACTTCAGAAGTTTTCAGAGCACCACAGCTCTCATTGGCTTTCTTCCACTTGATTACGCATCCAATTTGCGGGTTACTCAAATTACTCTGTCTTTCTGTTGTTCATAAGCATGAGATTACTCAAGACACGCAGCACCAAGTTTGCTTCTTGAAATCAGGTTCTTCAAATCTTTCACAACACAAAGGCATGAGGGAGAAGCAGAAGTTAAAAATGAAAAGGAAACAAAGCAGAGAGTAAAAAATTAAACAGATTTTAAAAGATTTGAGCCAGTTTGGGAATGCAGGACACCAGTCTGGTAAAGTTAGCGCCCACACTTACATTTTCATGTTTCATGTGCTTGAGAAGCCGCAATTCTCTGTACGTCCTTTTGGCATGAATGATGGACTGAAACGGCCTCGAGAGTTTTTTCACAGCAACCTTCAGACCTGTCTTGTCATCATGTGCTGAGCTGCAAAACACAAAAGAAATCATGATGGTTATATTTCGAGCTAAATGTTTTATTCTGCTTGACTAATTCACAGAATGAGCTGCACTTCATATGTTCCAGTGGTCACACATAAGTAAGGTTACTACGTATTTCATAACATTCTAAATATAACAAGATCAAGTTGATGCATAGCGACTGCACAGTATTAAGGCACGATTAACAAGTGCTAAATGGTGCTAAATAGTTTTGTCTCAGTAGATTCAGTTCATCCTGAGTTTTACCCTCTAAACTCTCACTTCTCTATGGTGAAAACAACATTCAGAGACAGAGGTAAGAATAGCTGCAAGCATATTTTTAAGTATTACTTTAAGTATTGCCTTGAAAAAGTAAAAGGCTTACAAATCTTTATAACAACATTACTATGTCATTTGTAGATGCTACATTTGTTATGGTCCATTTTGGTTTCCATAATGGTATTTTAGTGAGTAACATGCAACAGCTTAACAGAATCCTGGCATGTTTGCACTTGCTTCAGTCATATATTACTGAATCTACAGTACAGTACTTTCTAGTAAAAAAAAAAAAGCAAAAAATATATTTCATAAAAATTACTCAGAAGCCTCAAAAACTATTGTCCACCTTTGCCTTTATTACTGCTTTCATTCTTTTTGAGAGCTTTTGGTTTTTCAAAGAAATCTGCAGGGTTGTTTGTTCGCACTTCCAAAGTCCTAGACGTTGGTTATATTTTCTGCTTCTCATAATCAAAGTAATCCCAAACACATTCAGTGATGTTGAGGTCAGGGCTCCTGGTTCTGACAACATCAGTAGCTTCTTTGATTGTTTTTTTGTTTACATCTTTTTCTCAGTACTGGCCTCTTGACCTTTAAATGACGTTTCATCCTATCCCAGAGCAATGACATGGCTTCTCACAGCAAAAGGGTGGACAGAAACATCTGTGGATCTGAAGCAAAAGTGGAGCTTGATTGAAAGCATCAAGTAGACTCATGAAGTGTTTATCTCATGTTTTTTTATCTCAGAGTTTTGGTGGTTTACCAGATTGTGCATGGTTGTTTCAAGTTCCATTTTGTTTACATTTTTTAATACTTTTTTAAACATCTGTTTTGGAAAATGCTGTTTTTGATTTGCTCCTCTGTTATACAGAAGGGCAAATGTATATATAATCTCCTCAAAAATATCTCCTGAAAAATGAATAACTTGGACTTTGCCTGTTTTAACCAGACATTAAATACATAAAGGGTGGTCTCTGACTTTTGCACAGTATTGTACACTGTTGTAAGGGTGAAACAGTCTTTTTTACATGTATATCTTTATTCTGAGGTACCCCTTGTGGCTGCATATCTATTTGTTTACTATACTTCTGTATTGCTCCTTTAGGTAAAAGGGAATTGCACCAAGACAAATTCCTTGTGCATGCAAGTGCGACCAATAAAGTGATTACAATTCTACAGTGAAAGGCATTAAAAATAATGAAAGGGCAAGGATTTAAGCTGTCATGAAGCTGTTCCTCAACGGAAGACACTCTGTAGTTCCTGCTACGTCTAATTAGGCCTCATATCATTCCGTGACCCCTATTAACTAAACCTCGGAGCTTAAAGGCCTCGGCTGTCACACAAAAAGCAAGGTACTCCAAACCTGACCCAATCTGTTCTTCACAGATCCAATTACGCACAGATAATGGTGGGTGATATGAGGGCTCATGAAATATAAGCCAGGTGACACTGTTGCCTAGCACCGTGTTCCTCACATTCTTCACTGGTGCCCATAATACAATCTGTTTACCTGGGGAGCAGAGTCATTTAGTAAATGAGTTGTGGTGTTCAAACAACACATGTCCATTTTCATTAAAGACACGTATCAGACCTTAGCTGTAAACACCCCACCGTAAGGTCAGCATCAGTGGACAACCACGTTCCATGAAAATCCATTTTATGTCCTTAAGTTACTTCAGTTAACTCCAAAATGTAATGAAACTGGTTATTCATTGCCTTCTCAAACCAAACAGGGAACATGTAATAGCCCTTCGTGGATAAAATCTAAAAGACAGTTAGATGGGTCACTGAAACGAAGAGGAAGCAAATTTAGGAAGTGTAGCTTTAGCTTATAGGTAGTTTCTAGATCAAAGTTTCCCAATTTTGGGCTCCACAAATCAAGTTCACTTCAATCACTAACTGTGCACAACAGCAAAGCACAAAATCAGACTACTGTTACTATATATTTAAATATAACAAACATGATCAATACTGGTCTTAAGCACTACTCCAATGCATAATGTCATATCAAACTGAAGTAGCCTTATATGAAAAGACCAGTTATGACTCATAACAGTAATCAACAAGGTGACTTCATTCAGCATAGTGAGGCAGCATGATGAGACAAGACCCTGAGATCACAGCGCACTGTTTAAAGAGGGCTTAACTGCATGATACTACATGCTATACAGTTATAATCATAGTTTGCCTCTAATCTTATGAGCTGATCTTAAGTGTTCAGGTTGCTGCGCTAAGAGTCTCAATACAAAAAACAGACAGTTAACCTAGGTTAGCTAAATCACTGTTTGTACTAATGACTGAAAAATGCTAACTACTCTGTTCAAGAGTTGAAAAGCTACTTGTAATGTAATAAACACAGACAGAAAACTTAGCGTAAACACTTAATTTCGTTCTGTATTCAGCTACTTTTAGTAACAGCATAAACATGCACTTAAACAGCTTACATAGCCCCTGTTTGTCCGTTTGCTAGCCAAGTTAGCAAACTAGCTACGCGGCTAGAGGCAGGTTCTCTCACTCGGGCCTGTAAGAATGAATGGAGTGAACTCTCCGCCCTTGAGGAAAAGGAAAAACTAGTGAAAGTAGTTACCATACGGATCCATATGCACCAGAGCCGACCGGAGACAAGTTCTGATAACGCAGTGGCACCTCCCATATCGTCTTATTCACCTCCTGTCGATAAAACGTGGGTCTTTCTTTCTGCGACATTCTTGCAGAGCAAAGCCCCCCAGGCGAGTGCAAACTTCTGCTTTCCTCAGCCCGCTTCACTTCGCTGCTCAGCTCAGCTCCGTGCAGCAGAAACAGCAGAAAGGTGGGCGAGGAGCGGCGGTAACACTCAAAGCAGGGCGACGTGCTAAAGTCAGCGTCTTAAACTAAAAGTTTAGCTCATGCCCGCGGCTCCAAAATGTCCTGAAGTTCAGCAGTTCGGATTAGTTTAGCTCCACTGCGTTGAAATTTTCTCTCGCTCTCTCTCCAATGCGCCTTTCCTGCCACTACACTCACTTCCCTGCGAACTGCTGTTACCGTGAGCAGCTCCCAAATCTCGCGAGGACACGGAGATACTGCCGCAATTCAAAACGCAGACATCAACTCACAGACGTTTATTATGGTTGCGCCTTGCTATATTGTTATCTGATTTATATTATTATTATGGTTGCGCCTTGCTTTAGCTATATTGTTATCCGATTTATATTCTTCTTCTTCTTCTTTTTATTATTATTTTTATTTTTCTGCCGTTTCTTTGCCGTGTAACTAGTCCCGCAGCTTTCGAGATATCAACACCGTTCCAACTCCAGATTGTCCGACGTGATTGTGTGATGCGTGCTTGTATACAGCTTTTTGATCGGATGCACGGATTCCGTGTGGCAAGGGAATTTTGCGGAATTTTTTCCCATAGAGAATGAATGGGGTGAACATTTACATGCCAATCTAAGGTATTATGCTTGTCCGATCGACACCGTTTTTCATACACTGTCTCAGGGCAGGCCCACAACCATGAATCCACTGTCGTTCTGACCCGCACTCATCCGTTTGTCGTTTTATTCCATCATTTGTTCCTCCCATTGACTTACATTGAGCGGACTGTTGGCAGCATGCCAGACATGATGTCACAATGGGCCGTTAACTCACACACCCATCCAACTTCACGCACGGAGCCCAATGTCTCACCCGCTCCCAGCCTAATGCTCAGCAGTGTCAGCACACATAATGATTTTTTTGAGGTGGAACTGCTTTTAAGGTGGAAATGCACTTAACTAGCACAAACACTAATCCACTGCCATACTGACCCGCACTCCTCTTTGTGTCGTTTTTTCATCCCTCGTTCCTCTCATTGAGTCCCATTCGTTTTCGCCACCACTCAAACTCTATTACTTCTTTACCCAACAGTCACCAAAATGCATGTACTCATTTAGGGCAGGTCCCCAAGCACTAACCCACAGCCATACTGACCCGCACTCCTCTATTTGTCGTTTTTTCATCCCTCGTTCCTCCCATATAGTCCCATTCATTTTTACCACCACTCAAACTCTATTACTTCTTTGCCCGACAGTCACCAAAATGCTTGTACTCATTCAGGGCAGGTTCCCAAGCTCTAATCCACAGCCACAGTGACCTGCACTCCTCTATTTGTCGTTTTTTCATCCTTCGTTCCTCCCATAGAGTCCCATTCATTTTCACCACCACTCAAACTCTATTGCTTCTTTGCCCGACAGTCACCAAAATGCATGTACTCATTCAGGACAGGTCCTCAAGCTCTAATCCACAGCCTCCCTGACCCGCACTCATCAATTCGTCGATTTTTCATCCCTCGTTCCTCCCTTAGAATCCCATTAATTTTCGGCCAAACCATAGCCCTGTTTTTTCCATCGTGCAACAGACACCGAAATGCAGGGACACATTCCCAAGCTCTAATTCATAGCCACACTGACCCGCACTCATCTATTTGTCATTTTTTCATCCCTCGTTCCTCCCATAAAGTTCCATTCATTTTCTTTTGCAACAAAGCCCTAATCTGTCTGTTTTCATCCCTCATTCTTCCTATAGAATTCCATAGTAACCGCGGCGCAACCATTCCACGTTTCCTTTAGGAAATGCACTTTTCTAGTTATTATTTTTATTTATTTATTTATTTTCTGTCGTTTCTTCGCCGCTTAACTAGTCCCGCAGCTTTCGAGATATCAACACCGTTCCAACTCCAAATTGTCCGCCCTGATTGTGTGATGTGTGCTTGTATACAGCTTTTTGTTCTGATGCACGGATTCCGTGTAGCGAGGGAATTTTGCGGAATTTTTTCCTATAGACAATAAATGGGGTGAACATTGCATGCCAATCTAAGATACTTCTGCTTGCCCGAACAACACCATTTTTGATACACTATCTCAGGGCAGGCCCCCAAACATGAATTCACTGTCGTTTTGACCCGCACTCATCCGTTTCTCGTTTTATTCCATCATTTGTTCCTCCCATTGACTTAAATTGAGCGGACTGTTGGCAGCATGCCAGACATGATGTCACAATGGGCCGTTAACTCACACACCCATTCAGACTCACGCACGGAGCCCAATGTCTCACATGCTCCCAGCCTAATGCTCAGCAGTGTCAGCACACATAATGATTTTTTTTAAGGTGGAACTGTTTTTAAGGTGGAAATGCACTTAGCTAGCACAAACACTAATCCACCGTCATACTGACCCGCACTCCTCTTTCGTCTCTGTCGTTTTTTCATCCCTCATTCCTCTCATTGAGTCCCATTCATTTTACAACCTCTCAAACTCTATTACTTCTTTGCCCAACAGTCACCAAAAGGCATGTACTCATTTAGGGCAGGTCCCCAAGCACTAACCCACAGCCATACTGACCTGCACTCCTCTATTTGTCGTTTTTTCATCCCTCGTTCCTCCCATATAGTCCCATTCATTTTTACTACCACTCAAACTCTATTACTTCTTTGCCCGACATCACACACCGAAATGCAAGTACTCAATCAGGGCACCGCTCCAAGCTCTAATCCACAGCCATACTGACCTGCACTCCTCTGTTTCTGATTTTTTCATCCCTCGTTCCTCCCTTAGAATCCCATTTATTTTCGGCCAAACCATAGCCCTGTTTTTCCATTGTGCAACAGACACCGAAATGCATGGGCACATTCCCAAGCTCTAATCCACAGGCACACTGACCCGCACTCATCTATTTGTCATTTTTTCATCCCTCCATAGAGTCCCATTTATTTTCTTTCGCAACAAAGCCCTAATCTGTCTTTTTCTCAACAGCCACCAAAGTACATGTACTCTTTCAGATCCAGTCTCCAAGCTCTAAACCACAGCCATACTGACCCACACTCCTCTATGAGTACTTTCTTCATCCCTCATTCCTCCTGTAGATTTCCATAGTAACTGCGGCGCAACCATTCCGCGTTTCCTTTAGGAAATGCACTTTTCTAGTTTATTTATATTACTTATCATATGATATGTGTGACACATATATGCGATAAAAATGAACGTATGTTGTAGTTAATTGCTTGAGTATATAATCATGGCGGTCAAGGAACTTGTGTGTATAAAAAGTATTGTTTTAATTTTGCTCTTTCATGATGACACAAAAACCAATGTATTTACATATATCTGCCCATTCAGCTACAGCAGTTTGGCCCCGCCCCTCTATGTTGAAGTTATAAGATGTGTTTCAGCCCAGGCTTTTTGAATGTAGTACAGGACAGCCAATCAGAACAGAGCACATTTACACACATAGCTATCTTAAAGGCATAATAACAAAAAGAGTCGGTCTAATTCTAGGCAGTAAAGAGAGGTTTGAAAATGATCATGTACATCACACAAATGCCGTAAGTGGACTGCAAGGAAAAGAAACCATGAAACGTATATGCTTTAAAATATAAATAACACACATCATAGGTGGTATCACATAGCAGTATTAATGTAAAGAGGATGAAAAGAATAGAATGGAAAAATAGAAAAAATGTGACGGGGATGATTTTCTTTTAAGGGGGGGCAAATGCCCCCTCAAATGAAATCATATATGTAATGCAATAATGCAATATTCAACCCCTTCATCAATGCCAATGTTTACGCACGTTTTTAGTTTTATTATGACAATACACTCAAAAGGCAAGTTTTATATAGCATCTTACATTCTTTACGGACAAGGCCACCCAAGTCTCTTTTACACATAAGAGTCAATAAATATTACCAGGTAAAATTAAGCCAAATCCTTCTGTGCTGACATTAAAATGAAAACATGGCCATTCAAAGACAGATAGTTGAATATTTAGGCACATTGTACAAGCACATTAACAATTTTTAAACAAAACAAAACAAAATTCTTCAAAAAGGAACAAAAAGCACTTGTGCTCAGTAATTTTGCTCAAACAGAGCATGAAGCAATAGACGTGATGAAAAGTCAATTGCAGTATTTACTAAACATGTAAGATTTTTTTTCAAGTTACTTCTCTGTGGTGCAGATTTCAGAAGATTCTAGTTTCTTTCTAGTTTATTTACACAGAAACATAAACCACATAAAGATCAAATGTAATGCTTGGACTGGTTGTATATTATGGCTCACCAATCATTATTAATTCCTAATTGTAAAATTGCCATGGAAACTGATGACAACTTCATTTCCACTGTTTTCCCATACAAGAGCTTCATCATAATTGGAAAATCTGACCACACACGCTTGGGAGGAAAATCAACACTGCACAGGAAAAACTGCAGTGTCTATCCCAGAGCTAAGAGTGATTCTTCCCTGCATCTAAACACACTGTGATAGAATGATTTTCCCAATCTGCTGATCTGATTAGAGTAGCTCCTGTTGGTTGCTGGTTTGAAGGTCTAGTTCATCTCCATCTCCATGCCTGAGGATGACTTCAAAGGAACAGAGTCAAAGCCATCAGATGTCCTCTGCAAAGAAACAAAAAGTAATTTTAAATTACTATAACATTAAAGCTTTTTAACAACTTTTCAACAGCTAAGCGTTATAATAAAATATTACAACATTATAACAACTGTACTACTGCATTTGCCAAGTCTGTTGAACTTTTTCCTTGTGTTATTGCTTGATGAGTCTCCATTCAAACATCTTACTCAAACAACTAAGCAGAATCTGTCTTTTACCTTATTCATATGACATTTATTTAACCTAAATTTCTATCCAAGACAGGAATATTATGTTTCAGAGTATTCATAATGACCATGGAGCTCTGCTCACCTCCCTGGAAAAGGACTTAATCTTAGTAAAGAATGATTTCTTGGTGAGGTAAATGAGATCATCCTCTGCATCCTCTCCCTCCATAATGGCACAGCTGTCCGCAGCAGGCAGATCACACTCTTTCTCCCCTGCATTCATCATCAGCTTTGAGTACTTATACTCCAGCCTGTAGAGAGGATTTGCAAAGTTACACACCACATAGGCTATACTTTAGCACTATGCACCTTTATTAAAGGGGAATTCCACCAATTTTTGAAAAAACCTGCATGATTAAATCATTAAGATGTGAGCAAACTCATCT